ATTGCTTCTACTAAGAAATACAGATCATGAGCTTATGTAGGCCACCTATTTTAGGCACTTGCATGCACTTTAAAAGGTATAGGTGTATAAGGACATTAGTAGCGAGTACCTCACCTACCTCCATGAAACAGGTGAGGCATAAAGATGGGCCATACATACCTTTTCTCCTTCACCCCCACCCCCGAATTGTCTCACTTAAATTTGCTTTACTTAGAAAATGTTTTCCATAGGAAGAGATTCCTCCTTCCCCATTTCAATTCTCAACAATTCCAGAGATGCCAACAGTCCTCTGCTACCTAGCCAAGTGATCACTCTTCACATGTAAGCCTGGAGAGTTGAGTGTTGGCGGATTATTCGAAAGGGGTGGGGGGAGATGAAGAGGAGAGAAATGAGCCTGATCTTATCGCCATACAATACCTACTCACACATTAATGAACAGAAATCCTGGTTGCTTTCTCTCACGTCCTCCTCCTTCTCCCCAGCCCACGGCCCTGAAGTTAATCGTAGCACCAGCTGAGATCAGCTGATTATAAAAAATAATAATCCTTGCATTTGATATTGCGCCTTATCCTGTCGTTGAGACGTCGCAAAGCGCTTCACAGAATATATTGTAAAGTGGATTGGCTGTGTATTTTGTGAGCGAAACGTGAATAGAGATTTACATAGAATGGAAATAGGTCATTCGGCTCAAGTAGTCAGTTCCAGTGTTTATACTCCACATGTGTAAGGGACGTACATATGTGGAAAGCAGTTTGGTTTGATGCTCTAAAGCATTGTGATGGGCTTCCATATGTATCAGACACTCGCTGACCAATAGAAATAGTTACTGACATTGGGAATTTTCTTCCAGTGTCTTGGCCAACAATCTCCCAGATAAAATTGGTCAATCATTGCATGGCTGTTTGCGCAACACTGCTGTGCACAAATTGATTGCTAAGTTTGCAAATACAAATACACTGCTGTCCCTTTCGTGTGGCCTACAAAATGTTCACTCCCTCTCCAGTAAAACGCTCACCATTCAGGCTTTCATTTCGACGAAAACATCAACACCCTCGCTCGCCCTCATCGAAACCTGGGTCAGCCGAGGTGACACCTTCCCCCTGACCGAGGCCACACCACCCAGCCACACCTTCCATCATACCCCAAGACCTACCCGCTGTGGTGGCGGTGTGGCTCTCATCTCCCGGTCCCCACATGGTCTATCTCCTTACTCCTCTGGAACCTTCCCCTATTTTGAGCACCTTATCCTCTATCATCCCTCCAACCTTTCCCTCAAAATCCTCCCCGTTTATCGTCGCCCCAAACCCTCCCCCATCTTCCTCTCGGCCATCTCTACCCTCCTATCTTCCCGCTCCTCTGAATACCTCCTCAGCCTAGGAGACTTCAACCTGCACTTCACCCCCTCCTGCTCCATCTCCGTTGACTTCTCTTCTCACAACCTCTCCCTCCACATCTACTCCGCCGCCCACGTCCATGGCCACCCGCTTGACCTGGTGATTACCCAGGGCCTCAGCGTCTCAGACCGCACCATCACCGACAAAGCCATCTTGGACCATTACTTCATCTCCCTTAACTCCTCAATCCCTTTCCCCACAACTACCCAACCCACCTCCATCTCCTACTACCCCAGGAAAAAAATCTCCTCCCCTCCCTCTCCACTTCCTCCTCTCATTCTGAGCTTCCTCCCGCAATGACCTATCCTCCTCGGTCACTCTCCTCCGTAACTCCCTCTCCACCACTTCTGATGCCTTGCCCCCCTCACTTCCCGAACCATCTCCTGCTCACAGAAGTCACTCTGGTACAGCAGCCACCTCTGCCCCCTTAAGGTACCGGTGCTTGCTGCTGAACACACCTGACTCAAATCCAGTTTAACAGTCCATCAGCTGATCTCGTTGGATCTTATCAAGTCTTACCACTCCGCCCTTGCCTCTGCTAAATTGTCCTTCTATTCCAAGCCAATCTTGGAGGCCAAGGACAACCCCAGGCTCTTCTTCTCCATCACCAACCGGCTCCTCCGCCCACCCTCTCACACCTCACCCACCCTCTCCTCCAATGCCAACGACGAGGAGATGCTAGACTTCCTTGAAACCAATGTCGGGGAGATCCGCTTGGCTGATACTGCCCTTCCGACCACTACGCCCTCCCCATCTCCCCTCACAACCTGGCCCCCAACCATCCCTCCATCCACACCTTCAAACCTGTCTCCCCTATCTCATCACCACCATAAGTCACATGAAACCGACCACATGCTCCATCGACCCCATCCCTACAACAACAAAATGACATTTGTACAGCACCTTTCATGTTGGGAGGTAGTCCCAACCCCTCTTCTTACCTCCCAGCTCCACCTCCTTGCCCCCCTATTCACAGACATCATAAACCTCTCCCTGTCCACTGGCACCGTTCCCACCCCTCTAAAAATGTCCATCATCCTCATATCCTCCCTGGACCGATCCCTGCTCTCAAACTATCGCCCCATTTCCAACCTCCCTTTCCAAGGTCCTGGAACGAGTCGTTGCTTCCCAGCTTCGCTCGTTCCTCTCCCGCCACTCCCTTCACGAACCCCTCTAATCGAGTTTCTGTGCATCTGGTGACGAATGACATTTTGTCCATCTGTGACCAGAGCTCCTGCTGCTTCCTCCTCCTTGACCTCTCTGCTGCCTTCGATACCGCTGACCACTCTATCCTCCTCCACCACCTATCCTCTCACCTCAACCTTCATGGTTCGGTCCATGAATGGTTCAGATCGTACCTCTCACACCGTCTCTACTTCATCTCCACGAACAGCTTCTCCTCTAGACACCGCACCATCTTGTGCGGCATTCCTCAGGGCTCTGTCCTTGGTCCCCTCCTTGTCAATAGCTATACGCTCCCCCTTGGTGACATCATCCGCAGACATGATGTCAACTTCCACATGTACTCGGATTACACCCAACTCTATCTCTCTATCTCCACCCTCAACTCCAGGACCACTGCTCTCCTGACAGAATGTCTGTCAGATTTTGAGTCCTGGATGAGAACTAACTTTCTACAGTTGAATGTCAACAAGCCCGAGGCCCTCCTGATTGGCTCCAGTCAGGACCTCCACACCTCAGGCGTTGACAACATCACTATATAAGTATGCACAATCCACCTTATTAAATCAGTCCGGAACCTTGTCGTCTTGTTTGACCCTCAACTACCCTTTATACCCCACATCCGTGCCATGTTTCGCATGGGCCTTCTGCCACCATCCTCTGGAATTCCATCCAGCAGTCCCTCCACCTCGCCCCCTCCCTTGCCTCCTTCAAGACCCGTCTCAATACCCTCTTCTTTGACCGTGCCTTCGGTCACCCTCCTTCCCCCTGCTCTCCAAGCTCTCCAAGAGCTCTCTTTCCATTTCTCAAAACCAACTCAAGGCCCCAGTCTAAAACAGATTTGCTGGTTATCACCCATCGCGTGCAGACCTCCATTTGTTTCACTCTTGAAAAGAACCTGTGGATCGTTCCAATAACAATCTTCCTCTTATTCTAAATAATTTCGGTTTCCTGGGGTAATCTTTGCAACATTAATATAGGAAAATAACTTTGATACTTTCCTCTACACTTTTGTAAATACATAGATTTCCCTTCAGATGAAATATAAAACACTGTAAGGAAAATCTCACAAACACCGTTCCTTGTATCGTGCAGCAATAATGTGCCAAGGCCACATTCACCACATTTAAACCACCTTGTGACTCATAATCAAACCATTTTAACACTAGAATTGAGCTAAATGGTAAACCCACAATCATCCTTCTTCCTCCTCGCTCTCCTTTTTAAAAAAACACATTAATTGCAAGCCACATTGATTGGGGAGGTGAGGAGGGTGCATTTTTAATTTGATACTACAGCTGAAAAGAAGATTACAGACTGATTAAATGATTAGGTGAAGCTTGCATTTCCCGTCCTGGAATAGTACACATGGAACGCAACAGACAGAACGAGACAGTCCTGCCTGGCCAAGGGTTGCACCACATTTCAATAGACCGCTGCTGCGGTCTGACATCAGGAAGCACACGCTGCAGGGAACCATACATGGGGTGGAGGGGGCAAGAAAAACATAAGAGCCGGGGAATTGCAGCAACACAGAGCCGGGGGTGGTAACACACTACTCTCCCCCACTAAAGCAAAACCAAATCCTATAACCATTGAAAGTCTCAGAAATTAAGGTTGTCTACAGAGGGAGGAGTGGGAGCGCAGGGAGAGAGAGTGGGAGCGCAGGGAGTGAGACTGAGAGAGCGGGAGAGCAGGGAATGGGAGAGCAGAGAGTGAGAGTGGGAGAGCAGAGAGTGAGCGAGAGAGTGAGCAGAGAGAGAGAGAGAGAGAGCAGAGAGATAGAGTGGGAGCAGAGAGTGAGAGCAGTCAGAGAAAGCACAAGAGAGTGAGAGCAAAGAGAGAGAGAGAGAGAGAGAGACAGAGCCGAGTGAGAGCAGAGAGTGAGAGACAGAGAGTGAGTGAGAGAGACAGAGAGAGGCAGACAGACAGAGACAGTGAGAGAGCAGAGAGTGAGAGCAGAGAGAGTGAGAGACAGAGAGTGAGTGAGAGAGACAGAGAGAGGCAGACAGACAGAGACAGTGAGAGAGTAGAGAGAGTGAGAGCAGAGAGAGTGAGAGACAGAGAGTGAGTGAGAGAGACAGAGAGAGGCAGACAGACAGAGACAGTGAGAGAGTAGAGAGAGTGAGAGCAGAGAGACAGACAGACCGAGAGAGAGAGAGACAGACAGACAGACCGAGAGAGAGAGACAGAGTGAGAGACAGACCGACACAGAGCGGGAAGTGACAGCGCTGCTCACACAACGTCTGGGGCCTGTTTTACGTCCCTTTACCCTCCTCCTCCTCCTCCCTCTTTGTCCCTCTTTCCCCACCTCCTTCGCAGCTGCTTCTCAAAGCTCCTCGCCCCCGGGCCCGTGGCGCTGGGCCTGGGGGCGGCCTGGGGGCGGGCGGGGAGTGGAGGGGAGAGGCCGCCGCCGCCGCTTACCTCCGGCTCCGGGAAAACGCTGCGGGAGAACACACCGCCCCAGGAAGCTCCGGCAAACCTTCACAGCCAACCCCGGGGCCGCTGCCCGCCTGTCGCCGGGCCCGAGTGGCGCGGCCTCCGCCCTGTGACCGCCTTCGCTCGACGCTCCTGGACCTCGCGAGGGTCAGCGACCGGTCAGCGCTCAGCTCCGGGTCCCGGCTCAGGGCAGGGCAGCGCGGGGCAGGGCGGGACAGGAAGTGACGCAGAGGCCGCTCCTCCTGCACGGAAGTGCTTCGCTCACGTGACCCGACCGACCGACCGGCCTCGCTCTGGGGGTTGGGGTTGTTCTGGTGGAGGGAGGGAGGGGTGTGGGGGGGAGTGGCCGACAGTTCCCTGCGGTCACACACACTGTGTGGATCCCATTCGTTTTTAATAATAATAATAATGATAATCCTGGCAGTTGGTACGAGGACGTCCCGGAGCGCTGGGCAGTCAGGGATTAGGACCCGAGCGGCGGGCGGTGGGGGTTAGGAGCAGGGAGGGAGGGTGGCCGGGGGCACGGTCGAGGAGGAGGGCCCTGAGACGCGCCGCCCCATCGCAGCGGATCGATTTCGAGATCCTGACGTTCGTTTTCAAATGCCTTGGGACCGCCACACCTCTCTGACCTGAGTTCCCAACTCGCCACCCGCTGCCTCCGCTCAACTGGCTCCAGCCCCCTGCACGTACCCCATTGCCCTCCATTCCCCCGTCAGGTGCTGCACTTTCAGTCACTATATATATGCCTCAAAACTGTGGAACAGTCTTCCTTCCGCATTGCCCCTTCCTTCTCCATCTTCAGATCACACCCAAAAACCTTCCTCGTTGACCATGCTTGTGGTCACCTCCCAGCTCGGCATTGTACTCCTCCACTATCAAGCGCTCAGGGACGCTACCCTGCGTGAGGGGCGCTATATAAATGCAAGTTGTTTTTATATTCAGTGAAGTGCTTTGAGACGTTTCAACGACGTGATAAGGCGCTTACATACCTACCTCTCTGACCTGCTAAACCCTTATCAATCTGTCCACTCCCTCTGCTCAGCAGGATGTGGCCTGCTCCGTGGGTAAGATAGGATCGGACGCGGGCAATGTGGTGGAGGTGGAGGAAGGCGGTCCTGTTCAGGGACCGGATGTGGGGTAGGAAGGACAGCTATGGGTCGAATCTGACGCATAAGTTGCGCACCGGTTCGCTGAGTCTGAGGGATAGGCCGGTGAGCCACGGGATAGAAGACATGGACGTGAGCAAGGAGTATGATTTCCATCTTGTCAGTATTTAGTTGCAGCAAATTGCACACCGCAGTGTCCCGTAAACAGTTGAGGATTGAGTGACCACATTTTTTTTGAGGGATTATTACCTCTGGAAAGCGATCCGCCAATCGCCTAACAACCGGGTTCCTACTTATTACTAGATAAACAAAGGCATGTGGAATAAGGAAATTTACTTGAGGTTACGTCCCACTGGAGAACCGAACCTGGGCCCTCACTTGCAAGGCGAGCGCAATAACCACTACACTGCAAGACTCCACAGATAATAGATATCCTGATTTATTTAAATCTTGGTTCAAATATTTCCAATAGTGCAATTCTATTTTCTTGGCAATAAGCTTCAATTTCCTTACATTATATTGTAATAACAATAAATATTGAATGAGCCTTATGGTTGGTATTTTTATCTCAAGGCACTTTGTGGCATTTTGCTGTTAAGCAACTGTGTGTTTTGCCATCAAACGCAGCAGCCAATATGCGCACAGCAATGCCTCAGTTTTGAAGTCAAATGGCCAATTTTATTTGGAGGGATTGTTGACCAAGACATCGGGGGAAGCTCTTATCTTTTCAAATAGTGCCATGGGATTGCTCTATGTTCACCTGAACTGGCAGACAGGACCTCAGCTAACACCTCATCCAAAGGACAGCACCGCTAACAATGAAGCACACCCCCAACACTGCACTGGAGTGTCATCCTAGATTATGTGAATTCAAAGTCCTAACATGGGACTTGAAGCCATAACTGTATGACTCAAGTCAAAGCGAAGAATGCTGCCAATTGAACCAAGCTGGCACTGACATGTTCACCTGTTGACGGAAATTCCCCATGGAGCGCTTTGAATTTAGACTTCAAAGATGCAAATATCAAATTCATATCAAATGCAAGGATTATTCATTATATATTATATTTTGGCAGTGCATTTGTGTTAAAATCAATAAGCTGCTAAGTTTATCAGAGCAGTGTTTTCAGGCTTTTTGGACACTTTGCTTACAAATGTTCAATAATTCCAATGTAAATCATGTGATGCACTTTCAGACTTTTCAATAACACGATAAGATGCTATATTAAATGCAACACAGATTCCTGTCTAACTCAATTTTGGAAATAACACAAAACACCAACAATGAGATTGAAACATAGTTTTACTTTGAAATTATTGAAGTGGTAACTTCCTGTTTTCTGTGAGTCAGATTAAATGTGTGTGGATATGCTTACCATTATTCCATGAGAAAATTGACTGTATTTTGTTTTGATTGCCCAGGAGTTTGTCAGACATGGATACTCCTTGTGTAGTTTCCAGTTCTATCAATTGAGAACTCACTGCAGTTTTCCCAGTGGTGACAGGTGGGAGTATCGAATTTGTCTATGCCTAGAAACGTAGATGCAAGTTAGCAGAAACCAAGGTACAACACATATGAAGCCCTGATAAACTTTTCACTACCAGGACCACTCTGCCATTAAAATATTTGCTTGTGTTATCAGGATTCAAATCCACTGAATCCTGTAATCCCTTCTTCCTCCCGCAGTGACATGACTAGACTTCTTAAGTCCCATTGATGACCCCTGGAGGCTGGTTAGTACACTGAGGGTAATCATTATGCGCACAGTTCAGTTTGTATTCTGCTCACAAAATATAGTTAATCCACTTTAAAGTCTACCTTGTGAAGACCTTTGAGATGCCGCGATGATGGGAAAGGTGCTGTATCAGATGTGAGAATCAGCTGATTCAGCGCAAGTCAATATTACACTTGAATGTGCATTTACTAGTTCTCTTTGGTATGCAAGAGAGATGATTAGCAACATTTAAATAACCCAAGTCCAAATTTGGTGATCCAGTGGTTAGCTTCAAAAGTGGCTTGGTGTAAGTCTGAGATGCTGTGGCAAGCAATCAAAACGGTTACTGATTTGTGGCTGGTGTCCACAGTCGCATTGTGTGTTATCTCTCACCTTCCAGAGATGTAAGAAATGATCGCATCTGCCATGTGATGTTTTGAAATGGTACAATGTGGACCACTGGGGTAGGCCACTGTTGACGTATCTGAAAGGAATGTTGTGGGTTTACATTCTTGAACCCATCCAGGATTTGAATAATATCTCTTCCAAGAACCTTTTTCAAGCTCATCTGGTCATTCTCATAGCTTATCGCTCTTATTAAATGGAAACAGACGAGTTGCTGTCGTCTGCACCACCTCTATGATATAATTAGCTTTCTTACGTCATAGCACCCAGAAATGTACATAATTAAGTAGTTAATGATATTGTAGCATGTTGTGTGGATGGACTGTTGGTTGTTATATTTCTGATATAAATAAATGGTACTGTTTAATTTGTGAACCTGTGTTCTGTGTGGTAATATCACCCACAAAATATAGTCAATTCACTTTACGTAAATTCTGTGAAGCACTTTGAGACGTCTTGAAGACATTATAAGGCACTATGTCAAGTCCAAATATTATTATTATATCCTCTCTCAAAAGAATTTGGCAGCATTGACACAAGAGCATGTAAAAAAACAATAAGAACAATTAGTATAAGGTCAATTTAACCCAGGAAAGACTTAGGAAGTTTGATAAGCAAAGGATTTCTGCTACTTTTGTAGTAGAACTAAATAAAAGTGCTTTGATGACTTTGCTTAAGATCAAGCAGAATTTTATTACATTTTTCATTGATTTCTTAACTTTGGTCTGGTACCAAGTACATCACCTTCGCACTGTCCTTTCAAGATCCTCTCACTCATTTTCAAATCCTTTCATACCCTCGCACCTCCCTATCTACCCAATCTGTTCACCCTCCACTCCACCACCCGCTGCCTCCGCCTCACTGTTTGTCCCTCGCCCCTCCACTCCACCATCTGTGGCCGTGCCTTCAATCATTAAGTCCTGAAACTCTCCCTCAATCCCTCCACCTTGTCCCCTCCCTTCCCACTTTCAAATCCCGTCTAAAGACCTTCCTTTTTAATCGTGTCTAGTGACCTCCCACTGCCCCTGGCTCGGCAGAAGATTCAGTCACTGTCAAGCTCTCCAGGACGCTTCCCCCGCCGTGAAGGGCGCTATATAATTGCAATTTGTTGTTCTCCCCCATATTCGGTCCTTAGCCAAAGCCACCTTCCTCCACCTTGGTCACATTACCCACCTCCGACCGTACCTTACACCCAACAAAGCCAAAACCCTCATCCACACCTTTGTCACCTCCCACCTCGACTATTTCCATGCCCTCCTCGCCAGACTCCCCAGCTCCACTACCCACAAACCACAACTGATTCAGAGGTCCACCACCTGATACTCACCCACACTGGACTCCGTACCCCCCATCACACTGGTTCTCACCAGGCTCCACTGGCTCCCTATCATAGAACAGATTGATTTCAAGATCCTCTTGTCTACAAATCCCTTCATGCCCTGCCACCTCCCTACCTTTCTAACCTTTGTCTCCCCATTCCACTACCAGCTGCCTCCACTCGACTAGCCCTGGCCTCCTCTTGTCCCTCGTTCCTCTGCTCCACCATTGGCGGTCGTGCTTTCAGCCACTAAGCAGTTGCTTGGGAACTCTCTGGCTCAATCCCTCCGTCCACCTTGCTCCCTCCTTCCCCTCTTTTAGATCATGAAGACCTTCCTCTTCGACCGTGCTCACCTGGTACCTCCCCCCGGCTCAGAGTCAGGCTTTGCCACTGTTAAGCACTCCGAAATGCTGCCTCATGTGAAGGGCGCTATATAAATGCAAATTGTTGTTTTAAGATGATTGCCTTAAGTATAAAACAATGATAAATTTGGGCCATTGAGTGTTCTGCTAGAAATGGATGGTCTGTTGTGAAACAATAATAAGATTACATTTGTGTAATTCCTTTCACGTCGGGAGGATGTCCCAAGGCGCTGGGCAGTGTACAGCATTTCAGTACTGAGCTGGGGTCGGGGAGAGAAGGGAGGGGAGGCGGATGACCGATGGCATGATCAAAGAAGAGGGTTTTGAGGTGGGACTTGAGGATGCTAAGGAGTGGGCGAGGCGGAGTGATTGGGGGATGGAATTCCAGAGGTTGGGGGTAGAGTGGCTGAAGGCTCTCCCTCCAATGGTGGGGCAGGTGGGTCGGGGGACGTGGAGCAGGCCAGAGCCGGCTGAGCGGAGGGAGCGGGCAGGTTGGTAGGGAGTTAGGAGGTCACAGAGGTAGGGTGGGGTGAGGCTATGGAGGGCTTTGTAGGTGAGGACCAGGATCTTGAAGGATAGGGAGCCAATGGAGTTGGCTCCCTACGGTCGGAGGTGGGTAATGTGACCAAGGTGGAGGAAGGTGGCCTTGGCTAGAATATGGGGGAGATGGGGTCACAGAGTTTGGTGCGGGAGAGGACACGGGCTGCAGAGTTCTGGATTATCTGCAGTCTGTGGAGGGAGGAGTTGGGAAGGCCGACAAGCAGGGCGTTTGCATAGTCGAGCCTGGAGGTGATGAAGACATGAACAAGTTGAAGTGTGCAACCACGGAGGTTGATCCTGCCAGAGTCTGAAACCGTTATTGCATACAATAATAATATACTGATAAAAGATGAGAATAGGCACTTCTTCCAAAAATGTTCCCATGAAAATCCTTCCTTTTCTTCACTCGCTCACATTCAATTTCTTGACAGGACTTTACTGTTTCTTCTTTCAGCAGGAGTTAGTTAAAAGTTCTTGCTGAAATGGCACATTGAAGGCATATACTGTCAGTATGTTGAATAAAACCTTTCACATTCAATGTATGCCTTTAAATGGCACAATTGAATTAGTGATTACAGATAATACGTAGGTGGGGTAAAAAGATAGGAAACACCACTACTAATCATTAGGCGGTGGGGAGGGGGGGGGTTAAGAACCCATAAATTGAAAGCTATCAGAAAAAAAATAACAAATCAATAGCAAAGTTTTGCATTTCACTGATTTTCCTCTTCCAGAAAATCCAAACATTTAGAAGAAGGAAAATGTAAACACTCTACTCAGATGAGGTTACAACTGGAAATAATTCTAGCTGAGACAAGCTAAAAGAGTATTGTCGTCTGGTTAAGGAAGATGAGATTTAAAAGATGGGAAATCATCTTTGTTCCTTGTTTATTCTCCATATACATTTGGACTTGGTAGTTATAATGACATTGAAAATCTATTTGTATGATTTGATTTCAAGGCCTGCATTAAGAACCATCTGTGCCAAACACAGGAGTTCCTTTGAAATGCAAATATATATTATTGAAAAGATGCAAGGATTTCATTCTCCTCTACAGAAAATAAAGGCATCAAGCTAAAGTTATGAATATGTTCAAAATCACTCATAAAGATGAAGGCTAAGATATATAAGCATGTATACAGATTTTGATTAAAGAAAAGCAAGAAAAATATAGTAGGAAACATAAATTCACCCACTCCACTTCGGAAAATTCAGTCTGAATTGGTATCTGATTCATACATTTTGCTTGGGTCAGCATCTTGGGACGGCCTCCCAACGTGAAAGGTGCTTATACCAATGTTATTTTGTATTGTATTGTATTTAGAAGCAAGTGGAATTTAATGCTTAACTGTTCTTTTATACACATTTGCACAATTTCAACTGGGTCACTGAGAAACAGGCTGGAATTTACCTAATAAGTCTTTTGCTTGCTTTCAACCACAAGGGAGCTAACAAAAAAAAGTCTCCCTATTTCTTGTGAGATATTTTTTGGTAAAAATTCCTCTGGAGCTTTATTGGATAGGATGAATTGTACTTTATTATTATTATTTACAGGGAATCTAGTTCGGCTTGATGGTCTACTCAAAAGTATATAAGTACATCCCAAAGCGCTTCACAGAACACACTGTAAAGTGAATTGACTGTATATTTGTGGGCGAACGCGGCAGCCAATTGCGCACAGCAATGTCCCACAAGCAGTCGTAGATTGAAAATGACCAATTTATTATTGTTTTTGGTGTTGGAGGGATTATTATTAGGCGTGTGGAATAAGGAAACTTGCCCAAGGTTTCGCCCTGCCTGGAATTGAACTCAGGTCTCTCGCTTGCATTGTTAAATAATCATTATTTAACAATGATTTGAATTAAGCTGGGATTTTAGTTGGTTTGACTCCAGCAATACCCCAAAGCACACTCTGGGGTCACCAAGCCTTGGCTCTTGCTAACCTGTGCCTAATACTTTCTGGAATTAAGTAAGCAGGATGTGTCCCTCCATGGAGAGAGTAGATTACATTCCAACAATCTCTCTGGAATATCTATGTGTAAGTGGGCTACATGGAAATCTCAGCTTGGTTTGGATACTCTTAAACACGGTGATGGGTTACTACATGTGTCAGAAAACTGGCTGACTAATTTAAATTTAAAAATAATTAAATAATGATACCTGCCTGCACACATTTCAGAACAAAGACAATAACTGGTCTGATATTTTTGAGATCAGATTTGATTGTTTCTAAAGTTCAAAATTCAAAGTCCATGAAGACAGTTTTAGAAAGGGAGAGGCCCCTCCCTTCTCCCCCATACACGCACAAAACAATATGTTTAGAGTTGTTTTATTGAAAAGAAATATCAAAAAACATGAACATTACAAAATGAATGTTACAAGATCATTTAATGAAGACTGTACCATCAACTGTTCCACAATCATCAGTTCCATAAACTGCAGCAACTATTGTCACAAATACTTAATAAAGCTACAGTGGTGCTCAGGGATTATAGCTGAGCTGACACGAGTAGAAACCAATTTAGATGACTCCCAAATTATACTCTTACATCAATGATATTGTGATGTGTAAAGTTGATAACATACCTTCAGTATTTTTTGTGGAATTGAGGTAATCAGATTGAAATAACTCAAAATGTTACCCACCGTTGTCAGCAATCCTACGGAAGTCTTGTGATAGCACTTTCATAGCTTTCATAGATCTGGTGTTGAAAATTTAGTCCCAATTAGCGTATTTGATATGTTGGCGAGTTAAAAGCTTTAGTACACAAATCAACGAGTTGAAGCCCCATCATTATTCAGTCTTACAAAGCCAGACATTGTACTGCAATATAATTAATACAAATGGCAGTGTTCAGGCCTCAAAATTCTCATGTACGAAGCAGACCACATCATAAAGGAACATCTTTTAGTACAGAAGTAGAACGTTATAATACCCATCATTGGAGCCTGCAGAAGATGTGGGTTATAGCATTCTAACACTAATTAAAGCCATCAGACAAAGTTGCTAGAATGCTTTCCAACTACACAAGCAGAGCCCTCATTTTTAATAAGCCTTTGAGTAAATTTACTATTAATGGTTAATAAAACAGATTTTTCTATTGTTTAGTTTCTATTTTGAAACTAATTTTAGTTAAAAAAAGATAGCAGTTGTTTGATGGTTTAAAAAGACCACGCACTATATCAGTTACTTGCTATTATTATTAAAATTTAAGTAGAATAGTCTAGTTTGCTGAACAGGTAATACGATTTCGATGTAGGCAATGAAATCGGTTTAAGGGTTAAACTGTAAATCTTAGAAAAAATCTACTGAATAAGCATCTGTATTTACAGCGACATGGAAACCAACTTTGTATTGTTCTAATTGATGCTTTGAAGAATCATAAACCTGAGGAATACAGTAGTTTGAGGCTAAGGCACTTATAATGAACCATAACAATCACAGGTGTAAATAACTCTTTTGAAGGGAACAACAGACGGTCCAGTCACAGTAATACATTAGTTTCAAGAAATAAAGCTGCCTTTCCTGCTCTCCTTGTCAATAACAAGTAAATCTGAATGGATTTTGAAAAGGTCAGAAATCAGAGGAAAAATAACTACACACACTTCCGGTTTAAAGGAATTGAGTCAAGAGAATTAGGTGTTTTTTTAATATAAATTGTTAAATCATAGTGTAGATATACCACACAAATGCTACTCCTTTAAACCTATTTTTACTGGCATTAAAGCTAAAACACAGTGTGTGAAAATGAGCATTGTCTGCAGCAAGTCCTTTTAAATTTGCCCTTAGGCGGCCTCCATATGATTCAGTCAGATATCTGCATTAAAACTTGCCCAGGACTGTTGCCAGCAGAGCCATCCTGACGTACATCCCATTCTCAGCCTGGCGGAAATAAGCTGCCCGTGGGTCAGAGTCCACCTCCAAACTGAGGGAGAAAGACAGAGAGAGAATTAGCACTGCAATTTTCAACCTTGAAACAAATGGTACTAGCTTTGTAATTTGGTTTGAAACACGAATGGGATACATAATTTTTCATTTTTAATTTTCTAGGCCATGCAGCTAGAACACTAGAAGCCCAGAATCTTTAAACCCACTCCAGCAGACATTTCTTGGGGTTACTTCCAGTGGAGGATGAGTGTTATATCTTTACGAAACCAAATGACATCTTTACCTTCTTTTTTTCAAAAAAACTCACAATTTCCACCAGATGGTCTAAAGTTATTGAAGTAGACTATCTTCCTTGGGGGGGGAGGGGGGAAGGTAAGTGGGGTCTCCTTGAAGCTGAACTGGCTCCAAAGTGATATGCCTGGCAAAGGAATGTCGGAGTCGAGCCAGCCCTCTGTGGCGGTTTTGATAGTCCGGTTCCTGAGCCAGGCGGGTCCGCAGTATTCCAGGGCACTGCTGATTGCCAGCCTGGCTCATCAGCAAGAATTGGAAGGGCAGACCAGTCACTGGGGTCAGGGAGTCATCTCACTCAATTCCTGTTAACCCTGCAAGCCAAAGCCTTAACAGGTAGAGCTGGATAAGCAGTGGGAAAACTTGCCGGACAGCAATTTCAATGACAAGCTATGTGGTTTTAGCTGATTAGACTCCAGCAGTACCCCAATGCATACCATGGGGTTTCCAAGCCTTGGGTCTTTCCACCCTGCGCCTAATACTTTCCGGCATTAGGTAAGCAGGATACATCCCTCCAGGAAGAGTGCGCATTCCATTCCAACAATCTATCTCTGGGATTTCCACGTGTAGGTGGGATGCACAGAAATCTCAGCTTGGTATGGATATTCTTAAGAATGGTGATGGGTTTCCGCATGTGTCAGACACTCAGCTGACCACAAAAAAAATTTAAGTAGACAAATGTGGGTATACTTGGTTTAAAACAGAAGATTGAATTTTTCATTGTAATCGATGAATACATTTGTGAAAAATCAGCAGTCTTACACACACCTTTTTCAACACCACAGTGAGAGGGTAGGCGTGCAACTCATTTCTGGGTTGCTCCCTATTCCGTGATGGAGCCAGCAGTGAAGACTATACATGGACAATCTGTTTGAGGTTTGTTCTACCATCTCTTAAAGGGTTTAAGTGAAGAGATTGGCTTCCACCCCTTGACACACAACCAAAACAACAGCTGCATTGAGAAGCAAAGTACACTATACCACCTTTCTTCATTTGACAATATCAACTTTTAATACAAAACATAAATTGCATAAAGTGCATCCAAATTGTAGAAGCAGTGGGTAATGTCTAATATACAACAATTATCTTCCTACTCTTCCACTTATTCCCCTCTTCCCACCCACATGCCCCACGCTTACCTAATTTCATTAACTCGGGGCAGTGGATGCATAACCACCATCTTCTTCTTGCCTTTGGTCATAATGTGAGGAGTGAGAATAAATTGTCCAAAACACTAGGAAAAAAGTTACAATTTTAATCATGAATCTCCAGTAGCAAAAGTTCATATTGCAATGCTAAAAAAAATTAGTCTTTCACTACAGTAGATAGATTGCAAACTCAGTTTATCTTCCGCCCCTCCCCCCCATCTCAAGATTGTTGTGAAGTTCTGTGATTTCTTACAATTCTCGAATTCTACTCAACATTCAATATTCTAAATTTAAATTTAAAGAACAAAAATTAACAGTATCTAAGTTGAAAAACATGAAACATTCAAAGGATTAATAAATGCTTCTGTTATATAGGATCATCACTGAGACGGGAAGGCTATTTGTTAATTGAGTAATTTAAGTACAAGTGATTCAAGCACAAATGCAAGTGTACAGAAAGAGTGATGTGGTGTCGGTGTTGAGCAGATGTTAGACATTTAAAAAAGCGCTCTCACAGCACCATAGCTATTTGACAGCAAAGTAATAATAATAATCTTTGCATTTGATATTGCGCTTTTTCACGTCTTCTAGAATTACAAAGACTGACTTGGATCACCAAGAGATGAGAAGAGAGAATTGCTGTGGAGTTTTATTTATCAGTGTTCCATCTTGTGGGAAATGCTTAATTCCTGCAGCCTGTTCTTCATTGAGGGCATAACATTCATGCTAAGACTTCAGTATCAAGAGAAATTGGTAAATTCTAAAGGGTATTTACAATGTTGTAATACCTACCAAAAACACTACATAATCAACACCGCTTAAACAACAAATAAAACCAATGTAATCATAACGTTTAGAATTTTTAAAGTTGTGATGAATTTTTAGCATTATTACCGCATCATATTCTTCTTCTGAGGAAAATCGCTCTTTTTGAATCCTTGTCATGTACAACACATCAGTATCCGGCAGAGCCTCTTCAAGACTGTCAAATTCCTCCTGTGAATAGCAATCAAGAGCAAAACATTAATATTCTGTTGCTAAACAAGTTGCTGCCATCTCTACACTTAGATGAAAGGACAGACATCAGCAAGCCTGGACCACACAAGAAATGTTAAAGGGCTGCTGTGAATCGCCCACAAATATTTTTCTCACCTGCTTTATTCCTCTGGAAGCCACAAAATCTATGATATCTGGGGGCAGCCGAAGATTTTTGGGAGTAACATAACGGAGATTGACGCGGTACAATGTCAGGAGATAAGCCAAGGAATGCACAGTTCGTCCGTGCTTCAGGTCACCAACCATTGTAATCTATCAAAAGATTAAATTACAATAAATAATAGTAATTGATAAATTATATTAAGCAAAGTCGAGAATTTTAGCAGAACAGATACCAATCAAGAATTTGAAGAGTGTGTTCAATGTGGTTCTTAACAGATTTTTTTTGCTATAAATGTGTGAAATGGATAGGAACCAATGATTAGTTAAGAGAAAGGGTGAGGCATTATTTATGACAAAAGCTGGGTGCTGTAATTGGAAGACTTTTGGATCGGCATCCTGGAAAGTCCAGATAAGGTGGACCCAAGGGTTAAATGGATCCTCTTTACTCTTGTGATCTTGTGACAATGCAGGTTGAGCTAAGCAACTGTGTATCACGTTGACAGCCGCAGAGCAGACTTTTAAGTACAGAATTACTGTTGATATAAGTTTAGAATACACAATGGGCCATGGGAAGTTTGGAGAAAAAGGACTGAATAGTTTATGCTGTAATACCTCATTTGCAATAATCATCTTTAACATCAGAAAATATTTGTGTATATAAATAATAATGCATTCAAAAGTACTCTTATTTACATATTCAGTTTTACACAACTCAGAACTCTTGGCCTTATTTGTGTCTATGTTGACTTTTTTAACAATCCTTTCAGTCCCATTTACCCACCATTCCCCTTCATATCCTATATTTTATTGCTCAGTAATACCTTCATTCAAGATGAAACCCATAAGAAATGCAAAATGAAACTTCTGTTACCAATCCCAAAGCACGTAAAGGCTTTCTGCCACACCATTTACTCAGAGTGGATGAGCTGCAGTGCATTGTTCAAAAAGTTACAATGGAGATTGTGAAATTATAACCAAATGTCAATCTCATCAGTGGAACACAAAAATCCAACACTAAAATAAAAAATTGTCCTGATAGAAATGAGGGAGATTTAATACCAGCTGCAAAATCTACTGCTCCTCAGTTTTGGAAACAGGATTCAGTTTTTTTTAAAAAAAAAAACAACACAAAGCTCCAACTTACCGTCATTCCATTCACAGTTCCAAGCTCCTCCCGAATAGTGAAAATATCAAGCAAAGCCTGAGTAGGGTGTTCACCTACACCATCTCCTGCATTAATTATAGGCTTCCGGCAATGCTTAGCAACATGCTGAAAAAGACAGGTGTAAACCGCACACATTAAAATATACAGTCAATTCACTTTACGGTATATTCTGCGAAGCGCTTTGACGTGATAAGGTGCTATATCAAATGCAAGGATTATTATTATTATTTAAAAATTTACACTATTGCAATGAAACATTGAGAGATATCAAAACATTCAAAATACAAGTGTTGAAAATAACAGCTCCTTGCTGGCCTGGTGGGTAAGTGCACTGCCCCGTGGAACAATAAAACCACACCATCTAAAAGATTTCAGATTTGAATCTTGGTTTGTGTTTAATTAGTTAATCTAAGTTGGGGACCGGAGTTGGGTACTATAATTGAACTTAACGGCTCCTGGGTTGGGGAAAAGAGGGAGGGAAGAGAAAATACAGACAGGTTCCTGCTCCTGAACACACTGATCTGTTGGAATTTATATGTGGGTGAGGATAGAATTGAGTTTGGTTGTGATGCCCTCACGGTCAAATAGATATCCAACAAGCACTGTCGAAAAACACACATGAATAATGGGCTTTCATGCAAGATACAAGAGGGCTACCAAAGAACACTTGTAGAAAGTGTACCATAGTAGAAAGAAAAGAATCAAAAAGACAACACTATGCAAAACTTATAAGATCTAAACCAGTTATGTTTAAAGACTTCATTTTTATTTAAAAAAACAGGCAGGACCTAGACTTTTTTTCTTGAAAATTTGCTTTGAGGCAATTTTATGCATCACAAAGGATAAAATCCTGCCAAAATGGCAATGTACGTTTAAAGAAGAAAACTTGAAAAGCATCCTTTGGTCTGACTCCCTTCCCTCAGTTCACTGTTAATGTTTTGGCTTATCCCAAACTGTCTTCCTGTGCGATTCACATCCCTTACAAACTATATAAAACAGGATCAATTTTTTTTTGCTTACTTAGTTTTCAAATCCCTGACTGTCCAGTGTCTTGAGACCTCCGCCCGACGTGAAAGGCACTATACAAATGTAATTTGTTGTTGTTTTCTTTGTTGTTTATGCATGTTCTTCCACAAAACGCACTTCACTCAAGCACACAATTAACATTAAATAAGTATGCGCCAGTGAAGCAGCCAGAGGATTACGCCAACAAGTGTCAAAATACTAGCCTACACCTCTGCTATTCAAAGAGTTGCTTACCTCAACTGCACCCGGCTGAGGATGGCGAAGGACCACCACATCCACATAACAACTCATGGTCTGGACAGAGTCTAATAGAGACTCCCCCTTCTGTACAGATGACGTAGCTTCTGAAAAGTGGATCACAGAACCTCCGAGCCGGTGCATGGCTGCAGCAAATGAACTGCTTGTTCTTGTGCTGGCCTCGTAAAACATGGAAGCCATTACTTTTCCCTGTTATAAGCAATAAGAAAAAGTCTCAAGATCATTGCTTTTAGCCACAATATTCAATGCAATAAATCATAAGAATTCTGCAACTTTGAGGTCGAACATTGTTTGCAGTCGTTTGTGCAGTGATAATTGTCAAACTGAACAAACCGTAAATTGGTTTTGAATTTTATATTTCTATTATACAACTCGTGACCCCATCACCCCCATCCTCGCCCGACTCCACTGGCTTTGCATCACACAGAGGTTACAGTTCAAGATCTTGGTACCAACTATCAAAGCCCTCCATGGCCTTGCTCCCCACTAACTCTGTGACCTCCTAACCCCCTACCAACCTGCCCACTCTCTCCATTCAGCAGGCTCCGGCCTGCTTCACATGCCCAGGCCACCATTGGTGGGCAGGCCTTCAGCCACTTTGCCTCACCCTCTGGAACTCCATCCTGCAGATCCTCCGCCTCGGCCCCTCCCTTGCCTCCTTCAAGACCCACCTCAAGACCGTGCTCTTCAACCATGCCTTCGGCACCCTCCTTCCCTCTTGCTCTCCAGTCTCCCCGATCCCGACCCCCAACTCGGGTCCGAAACACTGACTGTCCAGCACCTTGGGATGTCCCCCCAACGTGAAAGGTGCTATACAAATGTAATTTTTGTTGTTGTTTGTTGTATTAACAGTAATTATCTAGAATACTTGGGATTGTTTATTTTAGACTGCTGCCAAATGCTATAACAATACAGAACAGGATTTGAGCACCATAGTCATAGCAAAGTTGAATGAATTGAACCCATTTTTCCCTCTCCCTTCACATTGGTTTGACCCAAACTAAATCCAATCTAAATTCTAATCCAGAGCCACGTGACAAAAAGATTTATCTCCAGTAATGTTGACACATGGCTGATGTGCCATGTGTCAACAAGGTCTTTGTATTTTGGGAGGAACAACAAACTGCATTTTAAACGTAAATTAAGTTTGATTAAACTTGATACTTTGGGATTGTTCAGCTTTCAGATCCAGTACTTGCCCCTTTGTGCAGTTCAACATGACTCAGTTAAGCAGTGGCTGGCTGGATAACTTGACTAACAAATGAAATTAACCTGGAATTCCAATTTTGTATAACATTCAATAAATATATCCTTTTAAATTAATCCTGAGACACCAAGAATAGACCATCTGCAAGCATTATAGGTTGAAGGGTGACCTGTTACAGAATTCATTCCACTTCTTCTGCACAATGATTAATTTGAAAGATGGGAACAGAGGGGAAAATCGTTAAAACACCTACCTTTAGAATGTCCAAGCTACGATCTTTCTGCACCATCAAACGAAGATTATGAGCAACATTGAACAAATGGGACATCTAAAGTGAAAGAAAGACTGTTTAGAAACCACAAACATCTGAGTTCTTAAAAAGCCACAAACTGCGCACGTACACTTGGGGGGAAAAAAATTTGATAACTAATAAACCTTTAGAATGTGGTCAACTTTCAATATACCCAAGTATACAAATTAATATGCTGCATGTTTACAACAACAACTTGCACTTATACAGCGACCTCCACACAGGGCAGTTTAACAGTGGAGGAGCTTGACTCCGAGCCGGGGAGAAGGGGGGGCATAAGCACGGTCGAAAAGTAAGGTTTTTAGACAGGACTTGAAAGAGGGGAGAGAGGAGGCAAGGCGGATGGAATGAGCGAGTGTTCCAGTGTTTGGGGGCGTAGTGACTGAAAGCACAACCTCCGATGGTGGGACAGAGGGTGCGAGGGTCGAGCAGGAGGCCGGTGCCAGTCGAGCGGAGTGAGGAGGTCGGAGAGGTAGGGAGGTGCCAGGTAGTGAAGGGATTTGAACAACTAAATTAGCATCAATACAGGACATCACATAGACTCATGAGTAGAGGAACCATAGAGAACACAGTCCAGAAAGTGTCTGTTAGCTGCAGTTTAGCAAGATTGCCAAGATGCTTCAATTGGCCTCATTGCCTCTGGGTTGATGGGGGTGCGGGGAAGGGGGGCAGGGAAGCAATAGCGAAGATTCTTCATTGCTAACCAATGATCTCTGCTGGAAAAGTGCTCGTGTATGAATGTCAGGTGAGGTCAGAGTAGACTGAGATGACCTTGAAGGTTCAAAGGTCTGTCAACACACAGTGTCTGGGTTCATGCATACCAATTGGGAGAAGCACATGAGTGTTGATGGCAACTGGAGAACCTTACCCGAGCTAAAAGGTTGGTGCCTTCAGAAGAAATAGAAAAGAAATTGGCAAAAGAAAACCATCAAACATTAAATATCATTACCTGGTCTTTAGTAAACTGTCTGACCGACAGAATATGCTGCCCAACAAGATGATGTAGAAGAGGGGAGTATGGATGAGGGAGAGCTTGTGCTGCAAGATTCTGTGGTGATAGAAGCCTCGAGACTGGAGGAGGATATATATAACCATCCTGACCAATGGTATCTTTGGCGATATAAACACATAAGACATGTCAGCCCTTCAGTCTTATTTTTATTATTTTACTAGCTATTTGCAGTTCTGCAAAAGTTTTGGTTTCCGGCAACAAATCACTCGTCGATTTTGAAGCACCATTTTGCACCAAAATCTTCTGGTACAGATTCACCTGCTGGGAATCGCCAGCATTTTCAGGATTTGTTTTGAATAATTTGATTCAGTTGTTTCAAAATCTGTCCTATTCACAGAATATTAGACCGAAAATAAATATATATATTTTTAAAAATCCAAGAGCATATTTAAGCCAGTTCACGGGTTGATGCTACCCAGAAGTTTTGTTTGCATCAAAATATTCACAATTGCTGTATATAATATAAAAAATACAATCTACCACCATGCAACATATTTCACTACATGCAAGTGCTGTGCACACAGGTTTGTGCCTGTGTTGCTCCATATCCAGATACCAGCATGTTTAGGTGTACCCTCCCAATTTCCTATCCCAAATCATGTGGGAAAAGCCTTGCATCAAACCAAAAAAAATAGATGGGTCAGGAATGCATAAAAATTGTTACAAGATGCTTTTGTAAAAACGATTTATATTAAATACTGGCTAGCATACCTGAAGTCCACATTCATCTTCAGTAATCCATCAAAACCCTAAGATTTTAATTTAATGGCAAAAGCCTTACACTTCCATGAACTTTATTTGTACAGAGTTTTAGTGCTGTGATGGTGCTGCAGGTATTAGCACTTTGCAGGGAGAAAATTCAATATTTTGTTTCTGGATGAGTGTGTTCAAAATAAAAATAACACTCCTAGTGCTTAAAGCTAATCATTTATAATAATACTTGCATTTGCTATAGCGCCTTATCAGGTCATCAAGACGTCTCCTTGACTACTAAAATAGCCGCCTTCAGGATCCTAAGGTCACTAGGAAGGTCATTTCCTGCCTGCTGGTTGCAAATGCATCGCTACCCATGCCTCACTCTCTCCAATGCTACAATATTCTTCCTGTAGCATTAACCACACAATACTCCAAATGTGACCTAAGCAAAGTTTTAAAAAAATTTACCATCACATCCTTACTTTCATACTCTATTGCTTTGGGCATAAACCCAAGGATTTTAATTACAGTCTATTGTCTTCTTCACCTCTCCTGCTAGTTTTCGAGTCCGGTGAATCTGAATCCCGAGAGCAGAGTTCCTACCGGTCAAAGGGAATTTATTTTGGGATTCCTTTTAAGAAATCAAGCAATTTAGACCCAAAGGCTTGCTGGGAGCAGGACAAATAATGAAACATTAAAACTGGAGATAAAAATCAGACGTTGCGTTGCACACCTTGTTCCGTAGATTTCTTGACTGTTTTTTCCTTGTATTCCCCTTCAGCTGTTCAAAGCAAAGCATGCAGAAGCAGTCAAAGTCATTAATCAATTAGACCACAAGACATTCAAGCATGCTCTGCAGATTACACATAGTGCACTGGGTTTCTCCAACATGCACCTAAAGGGAATCAGGTACTTACATTTCCATGTAGCCAAATCAATGGCATTCATTTATTGGAAGGCTAGAAACAATATCTACTCTATGGTCTCCACTCGAGGAGATCTGTGCTATTTCAGGGTTTGTTGAGAATTCTTCAAACGACATAATTTCATACAGTTGTAAATCTTCCTTTCAGCTACAGCAACGTGGCATCTCATTTTGAGATGAATTCATAGCTTGAAGAATATTCCAACAAACACTGAGTGAAAACTAAAACTTGGTAGAATCTGTGAATTTCTATTTGGCCATTATGTAAGTTCTGGCTTGGTTGTATTCTAATTGTAGCTCTCTGTGTTGTCAGTTACCACCTGACTCTGAAATGATACAGGTTAACATATCAGAGATTCAGCACTGTGCCCCCATTTCTTAAACTTCAATGCTGTTTGCCCCATCGCTCTTACAGTAGGCAGATTTGTTTCCCTTTCCAGTTACAATCTCATTTGGGAGGCAAGTATATATTGTATTGAAATTCAATTAGAAGTACAGTCCAGAGAGTCAGTGCATTCATTGTTTTTTGGTCAGACAGGTATCTCGCGTACAATTCAATTTAAACTTAAAGGCACCTTTTACATTGGAAGCACATTTTAAGGACAGGAAGACCCCTACACATAGAAAACCATCACCATGACTAAGGGTCTCCAAACCAAACTACTAAGAGTTCCACATAAGTATGGTTTCTGTTTGTCTGCAATAGAATGGGGCACCCACCAACGGAAATAGTTTCTCCTTGTTCCCCTATTGAATCCCTTCATAATTTTCGAAACTTCTATTAAGTTTTTCCTTAACCTTCTCTGCTCCAAGGAGAATAACCCTAGCTTCGCTAGCGTTTCCTCATAACTGAAGTCCCTAATTCCTGGTACCATCCTGGTAAATCTCCTTCACACCCTCTCCAATGCCTTAACATCCTTCCTAAAGTGTGGTGCTCGGAACTGAACACAGTACTCCAGCTGAGACCTAACTAGTGTTTCATAAAAGTTTCTTGAATTACTCTTTTTTTAAAAAACTAAAAGTGGTAGTATGAGTAAACACCCATCAGCATGGAAACCACACAGAGAAGCCTTTATTGACTATTTAATCGATAAATAATTGCAATTCATCAGTAGCAGGGCATGGCTGACACCACATGAGAGCAGACAATCCTCCAGTTGGCGAACTCAGCCATTTAAAGGGTTCAGGTCATTCTCTCTTCCCCCACCATCGGAATGTGCAGAGATGAAAATAATTTTTTCAGTGTTTTTAAGGTGAGACAGCAACAGCATTAGAGCACATCATCTTACAGCTATGCAGTCACGTGTCAAAAATCTAAAGTGCTAACTTTTTACCATCAATGTTAAAAGCAAAAGAATTGTGCATTTCAGAAATTCCGTTTTGGGATGCAAAAGGGACAGAAGATAAGCTTCAGGAACTAATTTTCAAGTCACTTCCTGCTGGAGATTACTACAATTACAAAAGCAGTACCCAGTGATGTGGCTAAATCCACATTTTGCACCACTCAATTTTAAAAAACTCCTCTCTTCCCCCTCAAATCTTAACCCCATCCTTTTACGTGCTTTATAAATTAAGGGAAAAAAGAACAAGTTCCAAATGGTTCCAAATTAGAGAGGGGCTATCAGTATTTTGTTACCCAAGAGTGCTTATGGTCTTGGGACATTGCCAGCACAGATAGTTACTGGACAATTATCCAGTTACATGAAATTAACGTTCGTTGGTGCTGGAATTCCTTCTTACATATGTTTTGTTCGATATAAAATAAAAATAAAGAATAACAATTCTTGCATTTGATACAGGGCTATATCACGTCGTCAAAATGCCTCAAAGTGCTGCACAGGATTTACTGTAAAGTGTAGTGATTGTACAGGTGTAAGTTAAATAACTTAACTTCCCACAAAGACAAATATTTTTTAAAGACACTAATTAAAAGGGCAATGGAGTCAATTATCACAAACAGTCTACATAACATTACTAGAAGTAGAACTTGAATGCAACAATATTGGTATTGATTGTGGATGGCATGTAAAAGCATATATTTAATAAATTCTGCACAGATCAGGCAATTATTTTTACTGCAATCAGTTTAAAATCAAGAAGCAAATGATGCGCTCAATGATGACAAACTGTGCAGCGAGATATTTCTTAATTGAAAGCAAACAGGATATAGGTCATACCCCGAGTTATGTGGAAGGAATTGATCTGAGTTCTGATTAACAGACAAAAAATAATTGCAGACGTCAAATCATGCAATGCAAAAATTTGGCACAATCACAAGCTTGGAAGAATTCAAGTCAACAGAGCTTTAGCACAACATCGAGTAAATTTGGCATCCATTTTTCAATATAAGCACAATTAAATTTATTACATTCAAAGATCCAAAAATTACCAAGCCATCTAGTGGTCTTACAAGCCAATCCACCAAGTGTCCTCGGAACTGTAAATGTCAGAAACCCTTCTATCATTTCACACACAAATATTTATGGTTACAAAGCACAAAGGCCCAATTCTACAAAAATTAGTCACTTTACTCACAAATATTCATCATTCTTCAATGGAGTTTTTTACTAAAAAATCAACACATTCTTAAAATGTATGAGTTTTATTTAACACAAGTTTAAACAAAATGTTGATAAATCCACAATTGCATTCAGCAAATGGAAATTTGTCAAAAAGATCAATTAAAAAAAAGTAACCTGGTGACAAATCTTGGATGTCAGCAATTGTCACGGCAGGCTAAAATGACCGATTTCTAGATCTGAAGAATTGGTTGTAATAACAATAATAAGTCCTTACATTTGATATCGAGCCTTATCATGTCATTGAGACGTTTTAAAGAGCTTCACAGAACGTATTGCAAAGTGGACTGTGTGTATTTTATGGGCATAACTGGCAACTAATTGTACACAACACTGTTCCAAAAACAGTTCTGGATTGAATGACTAAATTTTCTCTAACCACTGAGCTACAGGACGTTTTGAGAAGTCTCGAAGAAGTGGAAAGCGCTATATCACTATTATTATTGATGGGGTGGGGTGGGGGGAAGAGAGGTGGTTGACAGTTATTTGCCTAGACATTAGGTAACAGCCAGCTTTATCATCAGCACTTTTGACATATTATGGAACAAAAACCTGTGGAGCCAGTGGCGTTCTGCTTCAAACAATAAACATTGAAGGTTTTTTTTCCTGAAATTATAATTGACCAAAATTATAAAAATGGCTATACAAAATCTTGTAACAAAGAATTTAACAAGTGAAATTTCAATCAGATATGGTAATGTGTGTGTGTGGTGGGGGGGGAAGAGAATCGAATCTTTATTTGCAAGTCCAATTGATACTTTTTTCAAAACTGGTTTCAGCTACAACGACGACAACTTGGATTTATATAGCGCCCTTCACGCGGACAGCGTCTCAGAACGCTTCACAGTAACGGATCCCGGGACTGAGCCAGGTGGAGAGGGGGCGGGGGAGGGGGGGGGAAGGTGACCAAAGGCGCGATCAAAAAGAAAGGTCTTCAGCAGAGACCTGAAAATAGGAAGAGAGAGAGCGAGGCGAAGGGAGTGAGATAGGCGGGTGCAGAGGAGTGGAGGGATTTGAATACAAGTGTGAGGATCTTGAAGTTGATCCTCTCTGGGATAGGCAGCCAGTGCAGTCTGGCAAGGACTGGGGTGATCGGGGAGCGGAGTTTGGTGCGGGTGAGAATGCGGGCGGCAGAGTTTTGAATAATCTGGATTTTATGAATGGTAGTGGAGGGGAGACCGGTGAGGAGGGCGGTTGAATCGTCCAACCGAGAGGTGACAAAGGCATGGACCAGGGTTTCAGCGGCTTTCGGAGATTGGTATTGGCGGAGACTGGCAATGTGTTGGAGGTGGAAGAAAGTGGTGCTGGTGAGGGACCGGATGTGGGGGGGTGGGGGAAGGATAATTGGGGGTCAAACCTGACACCTAGGTTGCGTACGGGTTCGGAGAGTTTTAGGGGAGGTCAGGTAGGAGGAGGTGAGAACTGTGGGATTTTACACATTGACGAGAGGCAAAAAGTACGGCTTCCGTCTTGTCAACATTCAGCTAAAGGAAATTTACACTCATCAACTCCTGAGATCTGACAGGCAGGCTGACAGAACATCAGAAGACTGGGGGTTGCAAAGAGAGGTGGAAAAATAGAGTTGGGTGTCATCCGCAAAAATGTGGAAGTGTACCCCATGTTTGCAGATGACATCCCCAAGAGGGAGCATGTAGATCAGAAAGAGGAGGGGCCAAGGATGGATCCTTGGGGTACCCCGCAGGTAACTGGGTGAGAGCGGGAGGAGAAGCCGTTTGTGCAGATGTACTGCTGGCGGTTTGTGAGGTAGGACTCGAACCAGGCGAGTGCGGTCCCACTGAGGTGGATGACAAGGGAAGGTTTTTTGAGGAGGGGAGTGATGACAGCAGTTTTGAGGGAGGCAGGGACTGATCCGGAGGAGAGGGACTGGTTGATGATCTCAGTCAGTAGTGGGCAGAAGAGGGGGAGCTGGGTGATCAGCAAGTTAGTGGGGAGGGGGTCGAGGCAGCAGGTGGTGGGTTTCATGGAGGTGATGATGGGTGAGAGGGAGGAGGGAGAGATGGGGAGGAAGGAATGTAGAATGGGGGTCGTGGTAGGAGCAGATGATGGAGAGGATGAGGGGGACAGAGAGGGCGTGGTGGTGGGTGACAAGAGGCAGGTGGATGAGGCTGCCTGGCGGATGTTGTGTTTTTTAGATGAAAAGAAGTCCATGACCTCCTCGTACTTGGCATTGGATGTGAAGATTGAGGAGGCCTGAGGGGGGATAAGAAGGAGGTAGTGGATGGTGGAAAAAAGGATTTTAGCTAAGGAGAGCAGAAGGAGCAATGTAATGTTCCCCAATCCACACAGATAGGGAGTAGAGAGAAGAGAGAAAAGAAAACAGCCACAATTCCTGCTCCGAATTCCCACCAATGACTCTATTGGGAAATGTGCTGTGTGCATACGACTGGATTTAGCTTTGATGGCTCTACAGCCAAACATTTTAAATAGCCATTTTTACAATTTTGGCTAGGCCACCAGAGAGAAACTTTATTTTCTAATAGTGCCATAGGACCTTTAACAGGCAAATGGGAACTCAGTTTAATAATAATCCTTGCATTTGAATTTGATATAGCGCCTCATCATGCTTTCGAGACATCTCAAAGCGCTTCACAGGATATAGTGTAAAGTGGAGTGACTGTGTATTTTGTGGATGATACACAACAGGCAGTTTGCACCCAGCAATGTCCATAAACTGCCATGGAATGAGTGACAAATTTTATTTGGGGGATTGCTGGCCAAGACACCAGGAGAAACTCCCTTCTCTTTTCGGGAAGGGAATCTTTAACGGCCACCTGAACAGGCAGATTGGACTTTGGTTTAATGTCTCATCCGAAGGACGACACCTCTGACAGCGTAGCATAAGCCCAGCACTGCTTTGGAGTGTCACCTTAGAGCATGTGAGTTCAAGTCCCAACGTGGCATTCAAACTCACAACCTTCTGACTCAGAGGTGAGAGTGCTAGTACTGAGCCAAGCTGACATAGGCACTCTCCTATCCTCTGACAATGCAGTGCTCCTCCAGAACCGGAGTGTCATCTAGACTCTAGTTCAAAGTCACGACATGGGGTTGAACCTACAAAATTTTGACCCAGAAGCAAGGGTCCCAAAAACTGAGCCAGGCTGACACTTTCCATTACCAATAAGTGGAAAAATATTAACAAATCTGCATAGCTTTCATGTTTTACTTCATTTGTTATGTCCCTTCTTCGATGCCCGCCCCAAATAATCTAACCTTTTTTTAAACAAGTGTGGTGGAAGCTGGCATTTATTCTTGCCTGTATAGACTGCTCTAAACGTAATATCACTGTCAAACTAGTAAGTGCAGCATAATCTACTGCATCACAAAGTACAATTAGATAATATTCGCTCTTCTTCATCCTGCTCCTCCTCCCCCCCCTCCCCTCACTAAGATGACCATTAAACACTGTACGTAGTGGCTAGCCATAGGAAGGAACATGACCTGAGAATGGAACTGCACAAGGAAACCTGCATGAGAAACCTCACACTAGGCAGAGGATAGAAAAGCCACGTACCATTTGCCAGGCCAGGATCAGATGAGCGATGAATTCTGGGAGGAAGGTGGAATCTGCCATCTCCAGCAGGACCACCGCCTGCTATCCTGCGGGGACTTGCTGCTCTGGTTCGGATTATTTCTGTTTGAGTCGGATGCCTTGAATGCTCTGGTGTCTTAAAACAACAATTTACATTTGTATTGTGCCTTTCACATTGGAGGACGTCTCAAAGCACTTCACACAGCTGACTTGAGAGCCAGAACTGCAGAAGGGTGGGGGTGGGGGAGGGGGTGAAGCTGAGGAGGAGAAAGGAAAGAACATGACTGAAAGCATAGTCAAATAGATAGGTCCTAATGCAGGGTTTCAAAGGTAAAGAGGGAAGGGAAGATAGAGGGTCTCCAGGATGGAGTTTTCAAGAGCGGAGGCAGAATAGCTGAGAGTTCACCCACCACCAAAGATGAATGAGTACAATGCAGGCAGTAACTCTCACCAAAGTTAACATTGATGTTGTCCAAACTTCAGTTCAAACTTGCTCTGCTACTTTCTACTTTGAACCAGTTCAAACTTGCTCACACTTGAAAACAATTTTAGTTATTAAAAGTTCAACCGGATGTCTGTAAAGAGGCTTCAATAAATTCAAGGTTCAAAATTAATCTGCTTTTCTTGTGGCAATTGAACTGCTGAACTTCCAAAAGACGAAGATACTGAGAGATTTTGGTGTGATTCTGTGCCTTTATTAAACGTCTTAAGTCTCTGTTTTTGGTCAGACTGTTTCTGATACATGTGGAAACCCATTAGCATGCTTAAGAGTAACCAAACCAGACTGAGGGTTCCATTTAAGTCTTAAAACTCTGTAGTTCAAAACTACAGATAAAATTGGCTGATTATAGCCTGACATCAGGCAACTGAAAACTATATCATAAAGCTCAATGGAAGTTGCAGCATGACAGTCATGCCCCAGTACAGTAAAACTGGATCACAATGGCAGGTTCATGTTTTGCAGTGTTTGAGTAAATATTAAAAGCTTTACCTTTACTGTAGATGGTTGTGGTGGTACCGGCATACCTAAAGGCCACGTCCTTACATCCTGCCCATAACCCGAAGGGACCAACACCTGAAATGACACGTTAAATTCTGTACAGTTGCACTTTCAAGATTGTATACGATGAATAAGTAATATCATTCACTTATTGCAAAACATCTTAATGATCCACATTTAAAATTTAGAATCTTACATCCAAGTATTAAAAGCAATCAGGAAGATTTTTCTCACACGATTTGTAACAAACTAAAGTTTTTTTTAAATTTAAAAAGAAATTCACATTTCATTCAGAATAAGTGCATTTGAAAGCGCTTCAGAGCATATTTCACCTAGGCCGCAAGGTGGCGTCAAGTTGCACTCCTGCCACCACTCACCTTAATAGCAGATTGATACAGAACCAAAATTAACCTGATTTTACTCAAGGGAATGCTATTCATGGGGTGGGGGGGGGGAATAAACGCTCCGTGTGGATCTCTTTTTGCCTAGCTTCTAAATTACAACAATTTACATTTACCTAGTGCCATTTGTGTCAAGAGGATGTCTGAAAGTGCTTCACACACTTTGACTGGGAGCCTGAGCTGGGGGGGGTTGGGGGGAAGTTTAAAGGTGTCCAAAAGCATAGCCAAAAAGATAGATCTTGAGATGGGTTTTGAAGGCGGGGAGGAGTGGAACAAGAGTGGCAGAAACAATTTAGGATTCTCCAGAGTAGTGTTGAGGGTTGAAGGGGTGTTCTGAAATGCCATAGGCATGTTCCAACAGATCTTACCCAATGTATATCAGACTCCATTTCAAAGAAACAACTTGCACATCTGCAACATCTTTCTTGCAGGACCAATTGTTGGGAGTTTCATTTTCACGAGTGCAAAGGAAGTACTTTAACAAATGTTTACAATCACTTCAGAGACAATGCATTACAATAGATGTACCTGTCCATCGATGTAGGCCACTTCGCCTCTCAATACAACCCGCCTGACTCTTCCTTTGACTTTCTTTCCTTCAAATGGTGTCCATTTAGACTTTGTGAACTGCATGTGGCTCGGGATAACCCACTCTTGTTCCAAATCAACCTGCAATATGTATAAAAGATATTAACACTGTCACAATTACAGAAAAAGAGTTGCAATGTTGGTATTAGAGAATACATTCTAATAGTGTTAAATGGAACTCCACTGACACTGTATGGTGTGGCACATAGCTCATAATTGAACTTTATACCTTTTGGCATATGGATTGAACATGCAATTAACCATATTAAATCAGTCACTTTTTTAAAAAAAACAGGTCTTTGAAGTACATGCAACAGATTCTCGCAACATTATATTGGGCAGGGGATTCAAGCAAGAGCTGGACAAATATTAGATGATGGATAGTACATGAATACCTTGGACACTGAATGTGTAGGTAAGATGGATTGATGGCCTACTCCTTGAACCCGTTACTTTCCTACTACTGTAATTTTTAGCCATTGTGAACGGAAGCTTTAACTTTAAACCTGAATGAATTTGCCACTGACCCAACCAAGAGTACATTTCTCAACAAGATTTTTGAGGGACAAGATTTCTTTAATGGATCTGGCTACAAAACCTACCTCCACATAAGTGTTTTCCTGGACTGGTAACGAGAAGATTTTGCGAGGATTTTCATAGAGGCGTTTAACAATATCTTCAATGGTGAGTCTCCCCTCACTGACAGCAGTGAGCAGTAGAGGCAGCATGGTCTCCAGGCCTGGATAACCTGGCGGCGGGGAGTTACTATTCTTCTCTTCAACAGAATGCGGAGCTACAGAAATTAAGGTGAAAATTTAAAACTGTTTTTTTTTGCTCTAGTTACAAGTGTACACAAACCCAGCATTGCTCTCTTGGTCCACACTCATTTTTTTTCATTGCAATACCTGTGCTTTTCAAGTTACCACATTAATGAGCTCCTTGACAAATGGTATGGAGTCTAATCTATAGTCATCCTTTGGCATTTAAAATTTTTAATGCCAATGATATAACTGTTTGATGCAGAAGCCCAAATAGTTACATTTGCAAATCATGTATTCTTAAATTTCTACAAAGCAACACGTTATACAGCAACCCATTTTTTTAAAGAAAAAAAACTCATGAAAAACAATGACTTTGCAATTGCAATTCAGATCATTTACTGTACACAGTCATTGACTGTTGTTGAAAAAGCTCCCACAAGAAAAGTGCTGACATTACTGGTGCCTTACCACCAAAAAGGTGCCTTGTGATGTAATCAACAAAGATCAGAGATGCAAGAATTGCACCAGAGTCGTGGGCTTGAAAAAAGTATTATTAAGAACATTATTCATTTCTCTGCAGGAAGATGTATAAAGGTAAGAACTCTTTCCCTATGAGAACATGAGCTGCACACCTATTCAATCTTCTAATGGCACAGACATAAAGGTTTCATGGAAAGGAGGGAATGGGTTTACTAAAATACATACCATGATCAGTTGCAAAACAGTCAATAATATCCAGGTTTTCCCAGAGAGCTGCAACATCTTCTTTAGTACCAAGCATCGGCCTGACCTGCCCTCTCCCGTTTCCGATGGATTCAAGGTCCTCCTCACTCAAGAACAAGTGGTGTGGGGCCACTTCACAGGTTACCTGAAGTCCCTTCTGCTTTGCAGCTCGAATAACCTGGATCTGTTTTGATAGAAAACAAAAGTTGAATAGCTTGGTTCAGTCATAGGTTACCCAAAAAAGTTTAGGCATCATCTGGGCTGACACCTTATGTGTTTTGTGGACCACATTCACTCTGCCTGCAGGTAGCTGGCAAGTGGGCAACACAGGAAATAAAGTTAATGGAAAGCTGATAACCTGGGCACCAATCATCTTAGCTTCCTGCATGCAAACAAAAATGGCCAGTGTACGTGATATCTGATCGGCACCATCACAGTCGTGTTCTAGCACGTCTGTGAGAAAGACCTCAAAGGTAGGAAATGACATGCCACATCCAAAATAAGATACTTCACAGTAAATATCACATCAGAAATTCAAAAAAAAGTCTAAGGTTTTAAACGGGTTTTGTAAAAGTTGAAGTTTGAATGAAGTGAAAACCTTGGATAGAATTTGCAAATTCAGTGTTATAACACATGATCGTTAGTTCAAGACATGGCAGAATTTTTAAATTCAACATTACAAGTGAATTGACAGTGAACTGTTCATCTTACCTCCTCCTTCCTCGCTACATGGCAGATGTGAACTGGTCTTTGGTACAACTGAGCAACCATTAATATAGCTGCGACTGTCTGCCTCTCAGCGTGTGCTACTATAGGTAAGTGCTTGGGCCATTTCTCGAAGTGCTGAAATATAAAAGTAGAGCAAGTTAAAAAAGTTTTCAAAATAGATTAGCTACTTAAGCATCTTCTGTCTCTTTATGCCAATACCAACAAATGATACAACGTCATTTCCAGAAGAGTGATTTGGAGCAGGATTTAAACTTCCTGCTCCTTGCCTATTTTGCCCAGGGCTAAAGAGAGCTCTGAAAATTCATAACTAATCTTATGCATACAGCTTCACTAAACTTATCATTTCCATATTTTTTTTTAAACAAATAGTTTCTTTCGAGTAGCTATAGCTGGCTCTTTCCTAACATTTTAAAAAATCCCCTGAAAATGTCTTGGAACTTGTTACTTCTCAGCAAATCTGAAAGGATCAGCACAGTTGATTAAAAAAAAGGTCGTTTGTATACGATGTGAACAGTAATGTAAATGCTTAACATGAAAACTTCAGTAAATAAACCCTGAATATTTTGGAACATAAATCAAAATTTCTAATAGTAATTTGGACCATGTAAAATTTTGCACTTCCGAGACCTGAATCTGATTAAGAATTTGCAAGGCGAAAGAAGGCCAAGGTCCATCTAGTTCACCTTCCACATCCTAGCAGTTACTTGTCGTGTCCCAAATTATACATTGTATCCTAAGATATTATTTTCTAGCAGAAATCTATCTTGAAACAAATGATATTTTCTGCTTCCACTGTCTCCCTAGTGAGCCTGTTCCATTAGTTTACTTCGCTCACTGAAGTAGTATTTCCGCAGATTTGTTCTGAATTTATTCTCCTTTCACTCGCAGGCCGTGTCCTCTGGTTCTACTATTCAGCACAAGATAAAATAGCTTATCATGGTTTACATTATCTATTCCCTTCAGAATCTTAAAGACCGAAATCATATCATCCCTCAACCTTCTCTTACAAGAAGTGTCCTTCGGGAGACAGAATTTTTAAAAATATTGCGAGCATACCTCCATCCATAAGGATATGTTATCCATTTTGAGTGTTGAAAAAGTATCATTTAAATACATCTTCAGCCCAGCAGCAGAATTGCTGATCGATGGTAAAACAGCAGCATTATCTGAAGATGCTCCCAAATACAGAGCAAAATCACACCGAGCACCAGCAATCGCCAGCTGGGGGAAAAAAGGACCATTAGAACTGAAACTAGATTAAAGTTTCATAGAGTAACAAAATTTGCCCACAAAATATACAGTCAATTCACTTTACAATATATTCTGTGAAGCGCTTTGTGACGTCTCAATGATGTGATAAGGCGCTATATCAAATGCAAGGATTATTATTCTTAAGATGTTAATTTATAATTCATGTACTGCAATTACAATTTTCATAGTTTCAAATGTAGCCAACTTCTACATATTAGCTTGACATAAACCATTCAAACACAGAGAACGCAATCTCAACCTCATGAAAATAGATCTCATTTTTAATTTAGGAGACAACCTATACCTCACAAACAGTTGGTATTTTAATCTACATTTTTCTTTTACAACTGTTGACAATTCATTTAACACTGACATCAAGAAGCATCTTTATACAAAGTGTTGTCAACTGCTGGAACAGGTTACCATGGAAGGGTCGCAAGAGATTAGGACACTGGATTAAATTTAAGAAATACTGTAGTTTGATGCTATGCTCAAAAGATAGTACAGTTGATATTCTGGAAAATTTAGATCAAACTACCCAGGGTCTGATCCAAACCTTTGTGATGTTGATTCAAAATTCAAAGGAAGTCCAAATTTATCATTTAAAAAGTTACAACGTTATGACCTAGATTTTAATACTGTATTGTTATCTCGAACAGTATTTTGTCAAATTTGATATCAGGAAAAGGTACATTACTGGGGCTGCATTAATTATTTGTGCGTTGACAGTATTTGTGCCAAAATAAAAAGATCCTGATTTTCTATTAGTAAAAATGAAACTTTACAAATGGTTAAAGCAAAGGATTATCTGGAGCAAAACAAACTGGAGACCATCAGTATTTGATTACCAATAACGTGCATCTTAGAAAACCATCGACCATAGAAATGTATGGCACAGTAGAAGGCTATTTGTCCCATTTTTTGTGACCGTTTGCTCCACCAAGAAACAAAACCATAACAATTCCAATCCCCTGCTTGTTCCCCATATCTCTCATACCCTTCCTGTGCTTCGTCCAATTCTTTTGAAATTGCCTCTCTTACACAACTGTAGTGCAGCCCCATTATAACATACTTCTTTAAGCACAAATGTGTTTATAACGTGGTTGCAGTGAAATCCATTTGCTGTGAACATGCACAGCCAGCCCACTCACTTCCCATGTACCTCTTTCACTAAAATGACCAACTTTTGTGTCATTACATACGCATAGGTGCAGCATCAGAAAGTGATGTTGGCAGTGACCCGATGACCCAGAAGTCACCAAACATGTCCACAGCTAGCTGGTTCCCATGTAAAAAGAAGCTTTTCTTTCTGTGTGGGGACCAGCTGGCAGAGTACACGTTTAAATTGTTTATAGCTCAACATTACATACTTAATAATCCCAACCTCTGTGTTATAATAACTCTCCATTGTATTACAGAAGTAGAAAATGTCATTGATGCAATGCAATTAATTAATGTCTTTTTAATTCATTTAAAAAAATGTGGGTGCAATTTTAAGTATTTTATTTTCAGATTTGGGAGGGGGGGGAAGGAGCTATTTGCAGCATATCAAAATTTCATGCTACAAAGTCTGTAACGAAGAGGAAGATATGAATATTGAAAGGATTTAATTACCTTCTGCACAAGAGCAAATGAGGCCTGATCTATGATTGGTGGATTGGTGTTGGGCATGGCGCACACCATGGTAATGCCTCCTGCCAGCGCTGCTGCAGTGCCAGAGGCAAAGTCCTCTTTGTGGGTCCCACCAGGCTCACGAAGATGCACATGGACATCAATCAATCCTGGAAACCGAAAAAACAGAAACGTGTACTTTCCAAAGAGCAACTGATTGCAAGGAGTATTGCTCATACATAATTATGTTATTATTAATTTATTGCAATATATATATATTTTTTAAAAATTGAAAGCTTTCCTTTTGTTGTAAATTCTCTCTTGGTACTCAGTTTCCTTGGAGTTCATTTGTAAACAATCTCGGGGCACAGCTGGGCAGTTCAATAACACATATTGGTTGCAATGTTAAATGCTGACATTGATACACATTTTCTACTTACTCTTACCTGGCAAGCGTATCAGTTTGTGAGAGGTCATAGAATCTATGTGAGTCTTCACTGGAGGAGAAACCCCAACTTGACGCAAGGCCTAAAGAGATCATTTATTAACCAGAAGATTAATATAGGTTACACTTTCAAATAAAATAACTAACCAATTCAAGAAAAAAATACACAATTATATATCCCCCGCAGATCTATATATAAATATATATATATACACACACACAGTCCCATCAGAAATACACATCAGATAATTTACCTCAACAAACAGTTTAGTGCACTTGATATCGATAATTAATGGCACGGAGTAATCTACAGCCAATCGCCTAGTGCGGTAACCCTTGGTAACAAAGGAAGAAAGGCGCCTTCCTCCCGAGTTCCTCATCGAGAGGTTTATGACCATGTCAAAGTGGTTCTCTTCCAGGTAATCCAAAATGGTTCGCTGCTTCTCTCTCAGAGGACAACCATTGTCAGAATCTTCAAATGGCCAGTCCACTGCCTTGACCTACAGAGAAAGGAACCAGAGAGGTAAATAATAATTACTTTTTGTTAATTTAGGGAATAAAATCACAATCAAATTCAGCCAACAGTCGTGATGTGCAGTCCTGATATGTAGTGATCTCCATTACCTTAATCCCATGTTCAGTGTAAAAGTCTGCTGTGCCTGTACTAGCGTATAGACTGTAGCCAAGTTGTTCTAAAGAACGGACTGTGGAAAGCAGCTCACTCTTGTTCTGGAATCACAATAATTAACAGAATATTTTCTGTTATTTTCATATGTGAATATGTGAATATTTTCACACATACACACTTGTAGTCAAGAAAGCTGGACAGACAAAGTCAGAATAGCAAAATTTTCTAATATGGATATCTTTACCTTATAGCTACCAATAGAAAGTAGTATATTCTTTCTAGGCATTTTAAAACCAGTGCTTAACATGGCCTTGACGTACGCTTCATAACGATTTTCTCCAAAGCAGGCCACTTCTCCAGTGCTAGTCATCTCTACTCCCAGGACAACGTCAGCTCCAGCAAGACGGGAAAAGGAGAACTGAGGCACCTGCAAGATGACAAAAAAAATAACCACACATTGTATGTGATTTCTCTCAAAGTCCTATTATAAATTCTGAAAAGCAGATGCGACTACTCAAAGACATTCTCAAATAACCCAGTAACACTTGGTTTCTTTAGCTTCGTCTCTGAAGCTCAGTGAAGATCAATCCAGCTTTTATGAATGGTGCACGCAACATTGCACCCAATAAACTGTCTTTATTGAGCTGATGAGATAGGAACTCAGATGCATAAACCTTAGCCCTAAAATCTCCTAACTTGAAGCACCAATGTTCTCTGCTCCCCTCCTGGCAGCAGTGAATCAGGCTAAGATTGGGTTCCACAGTGGTTAGCAGCTCTCTGCTACCTCACCAAAGTGATTAATTACCAGGCGAGTCTTACATACTCACAATTTCCCCCCCGCCTCCACCCCCATTCTAAACCCAACCAAACCTCGGGCCAGATATGTAGTATAAGCCTCAGGCCTCTCTCTGGGGCTTGGGCTCAAGACCTCCATCCTGTAGCCTTAACACTCTGCTCATATTCACTTAGTCCCTGAAATCCAAAGACAGGCCTGAAACATTAATGGTTTAGATGGTCAGGCCATGTCCACTTAGTTTACTTGATATGGACGTGTCTCTGTAAAGTTCATAAAACACATGTTCAGATTCACAAGAGTTACTGGAGAGACAGAGCTATTACACTGTGCTTCACAACACCAGTTTACCTTAACTCCCACTATGCCTGTCCCAGTCATTAGTCCGACAGGCTCAACCTCTTCGCCCATGATAATCTGTGTGGCCAGGGCGACCATATCAACGCCAAGTGTTTTAGACACAAATGGAAAGGAGCGTGACACTCGCACATTGCACTCGATCACTTTCAGCTGGTCATCCTGCAGAAGAGAAAACAATGAAGAGCACAAACCGTTGCAGAAAACCATCTTTTGATCCTATTATCAAGCCACCTTCGATCCAGTCTAGGAGTGTAATATTCAATTATCTTTCTAACTGTCTCTCCTCTTTGCCTCTTGCTCGGGTGCAGTTCCACAGGTGCTGGTTTCCTCCAGTACCTGGCCCATTGTTCATGAGTTTTGGCGGTGATTGTCAGCAGGGGACTAAACTGCAGAAGGTATTACACACAAACTGGACTGTCCCCACCAGTCTGTGACCCATGCACAACCAGTAGAATATATTTGTAAAGGGATTAAGTGCAGGAAACCTAGCTAGTTTTCTCCTTCCTAATCCTGGGAAAGCCCAGACTCCCCACGTGCACAGATCAAGACCAGCAAGCTCCGTAAGTGCCTGGATTCAGAACAGTAAGCTCTTGGTCTGTAAGTTGCAGCTCTATCCACTACTCCTAAAGTTTACCTCCTTGTTACCTGGATTCATGGGGTGGGGGGTGGGGGGGGGGCACAAGGAAGCACGCAAAGTTATGGATATTCTGCAAGCAATTCTTCGAAAATATAGCTGTTATGGACCAAAACAAACTGAACATTTTAAAAAAAGGTCCAATTCATTGCAAAACATATGCAAAAACAGCTGCAATGATTTCAAACACAAACCTTTGCGATCAGCTGAAGGTTGAAAGGTCCAGTAACTTGAAGTTCCTGGCCGATGGCATGGACTATGGCTTTGATTCTCTCAGTTGTCTTCTGGTTTAGATCCTGAGGTGGCGTCACTAACGTGGCATCACCAGAGTGGACACCTGCATTCTCTACATGTTCTGAAATGGCTACAGCAATCACCACTCCGTCACAGGCCACCGCATCTACATCAATCTCCTGTGAGGCACACGTGCACACAATCGCTAGCAAATTATTACCCCCAGAAAGCAATACATCAATCAACCTAACAATCCTAAGTGCCTATTTACCAGATATGAGATAACTGTGATATGACTAGACTACACAGTTGAATGCCAAAAAAACTATTCAACTGTGGAGATTCCAACCCTGTGCTCATCCAAATTCCACCTACAAGCACTTTCCAGCAGAGGTCACTGGATAGTTAAGATTTGGAACCAGGAAGGGAGGGGATAATAGAAGGAAAGAGACAAAGGATAATTTGGTCACTTAATCCAGCACTATTTGTGAGACACTGCTGTGCGCAATTGGCTACCTCATTTCACGCACAAAATATACAGTCAATTCACTGTTTGGCTATCCAAATTCAATTTTAAACCATAACCCAATATTTGACAAGGAGTGACTACATACAAGGGTTGAAATTCTACCTATTTTTAATTTACTTGGACTATTTAGCTTAAAAAATTTAAGATTGCGCAAAACCGTGGTACAGAACTGGTTCACCACAAAACAGTATTAAAATAATTTTAAAGACCATGAAAAATCTTTCACCTTTGCCTCTTGTATGAATTTGGAGATGACAACTGGGTGCTCCTTTGAAACAGCCACTGCGCTACTGAGGAACTTCTCCAGATCATTGTCCGAGTAAGCAACGTTCATGGCGACTCCACTCAGAACGTACGAGGGACGAACCAGACATGGATAGTCAACTTTGCTGCAAAACTGCTTGGAGGACTGTGGAAAAAGTCAACAAACTGTTCACTTGTAACATTCAGGAATGTAGAGGATTGTAAAGGATCACCTACACAGATCTAAAGCTTGAAAAAAATACTGCACGATACCATACCCTTCAGATAATAGTCTTGTTTAAGTGAAGAACCTTTCAAAATATACAGTCAATTCACTTTACAGTATATACAGTGGAGGGCAGGCAGGGTAAGGGTAGGATGGTGACCAAAGGCATGGTCGAAGAGGAGTCTTGAGACGGGCCTAGAAGGAGGTAAGGGAGGGAGTGAGGCGAAGGGACTGTGGGATGGAGTTCTGGAATGTGGGGACGGAGATGGTGGGGTGGGAGAGGCTGGAGCCCGCTGAGTGAACATGTCTATATGGAATTAGCAGAGAAAGTCTATACAACAAAGTCAGTCGTGACTTGTTTATAATAAATGACACACACCTCGGAGTCTGACAGCTCCTTCCAGAGGGGTTGGCTGATACCGATCGAATCCAACATTCGCGAGAACTTGAAGCGATTTTCAGCAGAGTCAATGGACTCTGGTGATGTTCCCAGGATTCGGCACTGTTGTCGATGCAGGGCCATGGCAATATTGTTTGGCAACTGGCCACCCATAGACAAGATTATACCCTCTGGGTTTTCCAGTTCATAAATATCCATCACAATCTGAACGCAAGAAAAACACAGCAATATTAAGGTAACATCATTAAGGTTAAAGTAACCCTGAATGACCAACAAAATATTTACAAATACAAAAATAAAACATCGCATCCCCTTCCACTCCCAAACATAAAATCACCTTTCCTTCAATTCTGTGGATATCTCCCCTGAAACCACTCTGCAGACTGGTACCAATAATGTGAGCTTATGCAATCTCCCCTTCTCTGCTGTTAACTCATCAACCAAGGAGACAGTAGGGATACTACAGTTTTCCTCAGTACTCAAGGTTAAGATGGGGCAATTTCTCAATGTTCAAGTTGGCTACATTGGTAGCACTCTCGCCTCTGATTCAGAAAGTTGTGGGGTTCAAATCCCATTGCTGAGAATTTGAGCTAAACTGACACATCAATGGGGTGGTGAGGGAATGCTGCATGTCAGAGGTGCTGGCCTTCAGATAAAACGCTAAACTAAAGTCCTGTCCATTCTGCCTTTTTAGGTGGACATTAAAGATCCCATGACACTTTCCAAAAAGAAAAGGGAGTTATTCCCTTCAGGGTTTATATTCTCCATATAAAAAATGGTCATCCATTTATTGGCTATTTGTTCTGGCTTTACCTGGCTTTCTCACATGAATTCCTCTAAAGGGGCTCGCTTGACAGTTATCAGAAACATTGGTCCATTTCTCCATCCTAACAGGGTTACTGAGGTAAAACTCTAGTATCCTGACTGTCAACTTGGTTGAGATTGATTAGCAGCAGAGAAGGGGGAATTAAACAGACATTTCTGGTCTGTATTTCTCAAATACTCTATGCCAATTTTTAGAAAACTTCTCATTTTATAAACAAGTTAAAAAGCTAATTTGGTCCACAAGTTAAAAGATACAGGCGATAGGTTTGTTCCACTCAAAAGTTCCTTACCTCAAATGAAATCTCTTCGAAATAGAGTCGGTCACACATGTCGTAATCTGTACTGACCGTTTCAGGGTTATAATTCACCATGATAGTTTTATAGCCCATCTGTAAGCAAAAAACAATGAATGCCATTACAGTTTCCAAGAGCAATAAACAGTATACAAATTGGGCTCATTATTACAATTTTAATTCTAAGTCCAGTGTACCATTGGAAAACGATAGGAATTAAAGTTAAATCATCCCAATACCATAAAAGATTGATGATCTCTACAGACAGAATGGTTAGCAAATAGAAACAGATAAACCCAAATTGAGAAACAATGATGTATATGGAATGCTTGTTTTCATTTTGAATTACTTTAAGATAGTAAGCAGGAAACTCACAACAACAGTCACAACAATTATACTCAGTTGGGACAGGTATTGAGCACATTCTGCATCTCAATCGCACTCCATTATTGAGATTTATAAACTTTCCATCCAGAATGGGCAAGAACTGTTTTTTAATTTAAACCCTCAAATATTAACTATGTAGTGAGATGGCAGGTTAATATGAATATAATAGCATCAGCGATTAATGTGCATCAAAGCATTGATGCATACCCAAACAGATTTAATCTCATCAATTGAATACACAGAACAATGAGACTTTAAAACCAATGCACAAATTCATCTCTATAGAAGATGTTGCAACTTGCAAGCTTTTGAGGTGCAAGTGATTGCCTAAAAGAAAAATAATACATTAGAATATACAGCACAGAAACAGGCCATTCGGTCCAACTGGTTTATGCCGGTGTTTATGATCCACATGAGCCTCCTCCTGCCCTTCCTCAACTAAGTCTTCAAGCATAACCTTCTATTCCTTTCTCCCTCATGTACCTATCTAGCTTTCCCTTAAGTACATCTATGCTATTTGCCTCAACAACTCCTTGTGGTAGCATGTTCCACATTCCCACTGCTCTCTGTGTGAAGACATTTCTTCTAACTTCCTATTTGATCTATTTGTGACTATTTTATATTCATGGTCCCTGGTTTTGGTCTCCCCCACAAGTGGAAACATTTTTCCTATGTATACCATGTGTTTGTGTGTGTGTGTGTATATAAAAAATAAAAAAATAGTTTTTTTTAATCTTCTGGCCAGCAAGAAACTTGTAATAAATGCTTCGCATTTTGCTCTGATAAAAAAATGTGAAGAATAAAACATTACACTAACTTAAATATCTGAACAAAAAGAGGAGATATAATTATGCTCCATCAACTCCACTATCTAGATTACACGGTTGCATTTTGAAGAATCACCTCAATATTATGCATTAAACGCATTCCCAAACTACAGTCCTTTAAAAGATATCTATCATACACATTTTTAAAAAAGTCACTCACTCCTTGGCTGTTTGTGGGACACTGCTGTGTGCAATATTTGCTGTGTCTCGATCACAAAAAATACAGTCAAACCACTTTATAGTATATTCTGTGAAACGCTTTGAGACGTCTGGATGACATGATAAGGCGCTACATCAAATGCAAGAATTATTATTTTATACTAATAAAGAAGCTTTACAAACTTACCTTGCGCAACTCTCGGATACACCCAACAGCACACCAGTCAAACTCTACACTACTTCCAATTCTGTATACTCCGGAACCAATCACCATCACATGAGATTTGGTAAATTCCAGGTCATGCACGTCACCATTGTAGGTCAAATAGAGATAGTTGGTTTGGGCAGGCCATTCAGCTGCGACCGTATCAATCTGCTTCACTACTGGAAGGATTTTCCACTCCTGTCGCAAGCGTCTCACTGCCAGTTCAGTACTAATGAAAAATAAGCAAACAAACACCCAATGAAATACACCGAACCACTACTCTTTAAATGCAAGCTTTGCAGGGCATATCCATTCAAGTCTCTAGTCTAAGATTCTTCACATTTCCTTTCTTGCAAATAACTCTTTCAAAAAGCAAATATTGAAATTCAACTATGTTCTGGCTAGACAAGCACTACTTACATACCTGCACACATTTTAGTCTAACTTTTCACACATTTAAAAAAAGCACTAGCCGAAATCAGCAGCTGTACTTGTAAATAAATTGGTAATACAAAACGTGCAGACAAACAATGAGGTGTAATTGTTACATAAGTGATGCAATCAATGCAGCCTTTAGAACTTAAAGAAACAACATTTCATACAACTTATCCTGAACTTCCCCTCCTCAGACTTTCAGAGTCCCAGAAGGATCAGAGATAAAGAATTAAAGGACTCCATGAGATAGCAATCTGGAAAAACGTCTTGTTACCTGCTCTACTCAGTTGCATAAAAATAATGCACAAGTCGTGCAAATTCATTCAAAAAGAACTATTACTATAACATTTTACAATGTGTACAGGAAACAATTTGCACTGTTAAAATTTAGCACGAATGTCCCAAAATGGTTTACCTCTGTATGGCCATTGCTATCTGTTTATCAGAGAATCCAAGCCGTTTAGCTTTCAGGAGAACGTCGCGAGGTATTGTAGCTACATCCTGCATGTACATCTCTAGTGTCAGGACATGGTCGGCAATGTTCTTCATCTTGTTAAGAAACCACTGATTGATTTTGGTCAATTCATATAGGCGTTCAATTGAATAACCTGCCCTCATGGCTGCTGCAAGAACAAAGATCCTCTTATCTGTTGGAGTTTGCAGTTCCTAAGAAACAGAATTTAGAGAGGTTCATTAGAAAGCTATAGATGAAGAAGATCCTGGGCCTATTTAATCTCATTCTTCCAGGATACCCACCTCACCGCCTTTTGATTAAAACAGCAAGCAATTTTCCTATGTAAGATATCAAAAAGTTCAGAATGTTAAAGTTTACGTAAGAATATAAGTTAACAAACTGGGAAACGTTTGGACCATTAATCTTTTAGTGAATTACTGCACATGTCCACAGTGAAATCAAGCTGGTAACTGGATCATAATACTCATTCTGGGGAAAAAAACTGAATGATCTTCTGTGGTAATTCTAGTTTGTATTAGTAGGGATGGGGGCAAAGTTGTTTCATCTGAACTTTAGAGGAACTCTCATCCTTTTATGCCTATCACAGAATCAATGAAAGCCAACATCCAACTTTTCCCACCCAGATCCTCACTTACAATTATTTGTGTTGTCTTCATTGAAATTGGTAAATTTGGAGCTGGTAAACTGTTGGGTATTTGAGATGAAATAACGTCCAACTTACATCATCAGAAGCTGGCTTCAATGTATGGTCAAACCCCACACAGTTTTCATCAACCATTCTCAGTGCCTTCTGGAAAGCTTCTTCGAAACTACGACCAATAGCCATCACTTCTCCTGTTTTGAAACAGATAGTTAAAACTAAATAGAAAATGATGAGTGCATGTAAACATGCATTAAAGACAAGTAATCTTTAATAGTTATCTTTAAATGAAATATTCCAGACTTTGGCAATGGTTTTATCTTTGAATTCATGCAAAACTCTCTCCACATAACTAAACATTTAAGTTGAGCAGCCATCTGACAGTATCAATTCTCCTGCAATTAGTGAGCTGGGAATGAGAGTATGAGATCTTACTATTTAGGTACGGTTCCAGCAATTCCCCGCTCAGTACTTATATAATTCTTGCATTTGATATAGCGCCTTATCACGTCTTCGAGACGTCTCAAAGCGCTTCACAGAACATACTGGAAAGTGAATTGACTGTATATTTTGTGGGCAAAACGCAGCAGCCAATGCACACAGCAGTGTCCCACAAACAGTCATGGATTGAGTGTCCAAATTATTATTATTTATTTTTGGAGGGATTATTACTCCCAGAAAAGCGATCCGCCAATTGACTAACAACCGGGTTTCTACTTACTGCTTGGTAAACAGAGGCGTGTGGAGTAAGGAAACTTGCCTGTTTCCCTCTGCCGGGAATCGAACACAGGTACTCTCGGTTGTGAGGCAAGTGCTCTAACTACTAAGCTACAGGACTCCACATGAACTTCAGCACACCATGTGAGACACAAAATCTGCTGAGACACAAACCTAAGTACCAAAACATCTCTGGGACTTAAAGCAAGACCGGGAAGTCAGCAGGCTGAACTACTACTGTGTTGTATATATCTATGGTTTCAATATGAAAGGTAGTTATTGTAGTTGTACAGCACTTACCAACACTCTTCATGGAACTTCCAATCTTGGTGCTAACACGTAAAAACTTGCTGAGATCCCAACGTGGTACTTTCACTACACAGTAATCCAGACTAGGCTCAAAGTTTGCCGTTGTGGAATTAGTCACAGAGTTTCTAAAACAATTAAAGAGTACAGGTTCAACAAAGTTTCCACAACATCTATGCAAACAGAAGGACTGTGTGAAATGATTATTTTCTGCTGAAGAGTGAAGGAAGGAATGTTTGAACACCAGTGTACATTGGAACAGCATATTTATCTGGGCTGTAGAGGAAGAAAATATGCATCAGCACCTGCCTGATACTCAAGACTATGCCACAGATTTCACCTCAACAGAGAAGCACATTGATTTAACTCTGGACACACTTCAATACAGGACTTTTAAGACTGCTACAAAATAATTTTCCCGACATCTTGGTGAGTTTATTCCACATGCCTTTCTACACATTTATGATACAAACAAAATACTTAAAAGTTGACTTTCAAAGTATACAATTATAAAAAGTTTAATATATCAATATATAATTGGAGCTGAATAAAAAATGTGGCAAACACACACAAATCAAGGCTGGGAGCTATAAATGCAACCTTGAAGCAATTTGTTATGGCTAAAACAGAATCAGCCAAACTGAACAGCAAGAAGTAATTGCCGATGATCACTTAAAATTAGGTTTATTGTAATAGCTCTCATACATTGCTGCTCTCTAACCACAAGGAATAAAAAAAATCCACTTTATTTCATTTAACGATAGTTTATCCCAGGTGTAGGTGTAGGCAACAAACCATAGTGCTGTAAGACGGTTCCTGCGATAACGTATTCTTTAATTCAAGTGACTTGATATTTTGTAGCTCAAACATGCATGTGCTATTCAACAAAAAAAACTATTTCAAGAAATATCCCAAAATATATTTACCTTAGTACAGGTAAAGGGATACCAAGGGCCAATTTAGCTGCAACATAGGCCAGTGGATAACCAGTTGCTTTGCTTGCCAAAGCTGAACTTCTGGAAAGACGAGCGTTCACCTCAATAATATAATACTGGAAAGGGGAAAATAATGCAAATACTTAATGATATTTCATTGCCCAAAACTACAAAGGAAATCACATTGCGAACATATCTGTAACTTATCCAGCAGATATTAACATTACAATATTCCTCTAGTATTTTAATGAGACCATTGTTTTCTTAGAAAATCAACAGAAACATTTTGGTTGCATTATACTTCTATAATAGTCCATCAACCCTAACCTTTAAAACTATTATAAGTGTCAACTTTTTTTTACAGGTTTCTGACCCCTATAATCCCAGATATTATGTAAAGTCATGCTGTCTGAAAAGTGTAGCTGGTTATTACCAATAAAGCAAGTGAACATCACTGTATTCAATGCTAATATTAATAGAATGGACAGCCTCCAACTTAGCAAATTAAGGCAACAATATTCAAAAGCAATAAAATCACGTCAAGAACAGTAAGCGTTCACTGACCAAATAATGAATTTATACTAAAATATCACCCAATTGATTAAATAGGAATGATGGATAAGTTACCATTAAATGTTTCTCAAGAATATCAGAGAGCTGATTAATACCTGTTCAGATTCAGGGCTCAGTGCATACTGAATGTTGCACTCTCCCACAATACCCAAGTGTCGCACCACTTTGATGGCAGTGGTTCTCAGCATATTATACTCCTTGTCATTCAGAGTCTGACTCGGTGCAACAACTATCGATTCTCCTGTGTGGATTCCCAATGGATCTATGTTTTCCATGTTACAAACCTGTAAACAACAAGTTGCATTTATAGAGCCTTTCACAAAGGATAACATCTGAGCACACAATTACAAGTAATTATGCTGCTTATATGATTTTGCCAAAACCATTTGAAGTGCTAGGATAAAGCTTCCCTGATGGCTCAGGTTGGAATGCCACTAATTGATGCGGAGCCATTCAAAACTGGAATGTCCGAGATTCTGTACCGAGTTGGCGGATCTCAGGTAGGCTGGCGTTAGACATGCCATCATTGACCTCAGTATCTCTGGGCTCGGGGGTGGAGAGAAACATGCCAGGGTTTCTGGGTTGAATCACTGTTCATTGACAGCTGTTGAAAAGGTATATAGATAACATGGACATCAAATGAGGTCACAATTACTCTTAGTTGTGAAGCTCCTGAGAGCGGGAGGGAGCTTCACAACAAAACCTAACTGTGTCCTCTTTTGATGTCCATGATACCTATTGTACTTCCCCTCACCCCAACCCTCACTCCAAGAAAGCAGCTTGCTAATGCTTGCTTCTTGAGAGAACGGATCAACTTAGGAACTGGACTAGGCCATTCGGCTCATCAAGCCTGTCCGTCCGGTTTTGAAGATCGCGGTCGATCTGCAACTCAATGGCACTTAAGACAAGGTTGTGAAGGGCTGACAGTACCCACAAAAATAATGTTTGCATCAGTCGACACCTTCAGGAAATATGGGGAGAAAATTAGAGGGAAGAAAAAAAACATGAAAGAGGCAACCATTTCATATGTAAAGAGAGGACCTTCAGGGCCGGGGTATGCAAACTTACTGTGATACAATTATCATAGGCATCTCTGACAACTTCATATTCTATCTCCTTCCAGCCTTTCAAAGACTTGTCAATCAGAACCTGAGATGTGTGTGTAAATGCCTGTGTCACCAAGGTCCCCAACTCCTCTTTGTTATCAGCAAATCCTGATCCAAGCCCACCCAGCGCAAAGGCTGCGCGGATCAAAACAGGGTAACCCAGTCGTTCTGCTGCGGCTTGGGCCTGTAGTAAATAAAAACAGGTTTAATACATTTTAGTTATATCTAGCAACTACCCATGACATCATCCAAAGTGAGTGAAATATATCACAGGGTGATACACAGTATTTTGTAGTAAAAGGATTGCTTTCTAGCATTTAACACATGAGGTTTTCGCTTTAATCAAGCTGCACACTGAAGTATGGTATAATGTTTCAAAGCATGTTCACTTATATTTTCGGTGTGGACCCCAATATTTATTTATAGAAATTTAAACTGTGCTAAAATATCTTGCAATTTAGGCTTATTATTTTGCCTACTGCATTTTTTATGAACAGTATTACTAAATTCATTCCAGTATTGTGCACAATTTCTAAGAAGTGAAATACCACAGTTCAAGCAGAGTTGCCTCGTAAACTGATATCTTTACCTGCTCCAATGAGAACACAGCTTCACTGGGTGCAACATGTTCATTAATCTCTGCCATTTTCTCCACAAATTTTTTTCTGTCTTCTGTCATCTCAATAGAAGAGACTGGGGTTCCCAGGACCCTCACATTATACTTCTCAAAAATCCTTTGCTTTTTAAGTTCTACTCCACAGTTCAGTGCAGTCTGGCCTCCAAAAGTCAACAGGATTCCATCTGGACGCTCATTCTGAATGACCTAGATAAATAGGATTAAAATAAATTAATGTTAACAATATATAACCTCAAAAAGCACATAAAGGTCAATACATTTGCAAAATAGCCCCTTTATTAACCATAAAATAACATTTTCAGAGGACAATCAACAATTATAATATAATAATCCTTACTTTTGATATAGCCATATCACGCTGTTGAGACATCTCAAAACGCTTCACAGAATATACTGTAAAGTTGATTGACAGTAGGCAATTGCGCACTGTCCCACAAACAATTATGGAGTGAGTGACCAATTTTTTTTTCCGGGGGAGGTGGGGGAATTATTACCTCCAGAAAGTGATCTGCCAATCAACTAACAACCGGTTTTCTACTTCGCCCCACCCAGGAATCAAACCCGGGTCCTCTCGCTTCTGAGGTGAGCGCTCTAACCACTTAGGCTATGGGACTCCACGACTGGAATGGTTTACCAGTAAGAACAAGATGATGGACCCATTTAAGTGAGGGCCTAATGCAGCAATAGCAAAATGGCATGGTGGGTATTTTGGAGGGATAAAATGATCCAAAGGGACCTTTTTAGTTAAGTCAACCAGATTTCTGATACATACCGAGCTGGGACGCATCAAACAGTGTTTCATGCATCCCAAACACAGATGAAACACTCTTTAGCTGGCATCTGAATCACTTTTCTAGTTACTATGCTCAAATAAGAGCACAATTTGGGAAGCTATTTTTCTAATACAATTATATGCGGCTTAGCAATTTTAAACTAAGCAAGCACAGTGTATTGAAATAAAACCAAGCTAAAGGAAAACATGAGCTAGCCTTCGGTAAATTTCAGTCATAAAGATCTCTGTAAAGGCAGTTATAATCCATGTTACCTTCATTGGCCAGCAAGGAGACATTTGAAGATTTGCTTCACTATACAACAGAAATGAATAGATAAGACAAACTACTTCAACTTGATCACTTAATTGGAAACACTGATAGCCAACAAAGGCCTTAAGCTATAGATTCATGCAGCAATGGCATTTTGGTGAACTGGTTTTGTTGACATTGCAGCTCGATCCATTACAACCACTGATGCAAATCTTAAGGTCACTGAGTAAAAAAGGAGAATCTTTCAATTCCTCTGCAGACAAAAATGACACTAAAGAGCAACACAAGCATACAAATTTCAAATTTTCATTGCGGCAGCTGAAACTTACACAACAATAGATAGATGCTAATTGTCAGCTAGTGCTACTATACCTGTGTCACATATTCCAGGGTAATGGGTAGAAAGTACACTTTGTCTGCGAGTCCTTTTGATGTTTGTACTGTTGCAATGTTCGGATTGATGAGCACTGACTGAACATTCTCTTCTTTCAGAGCTTTTATAGCCTAACAAATAATTGAAAAAAAATCAGGTATAAAATCATCAAGAATTACACAAACACTTTAACCCCATTTTAAAATGGTGCTTTAGGTGGGACGAGTGACATGTGCGGAAACCCATCATCATGCCTAAAACCAAACTGAACGTTCCATACATATATGCAACCCACACATGGAAATTTCCCTGTGCCTGGACTGGAATACACGCTCTCCGTGGAGGAAGGTACCTTGCTTATCTAATTCTAGTAAGTATTAGCCATAGGTTTGTAAGAGGCCTGCAGAGTTGTAATGGGGTACTGCTGGTTTTACCAGCTAAAACAGCATATCAAGAGCACTGTCTGGTACGCTTCAAACTCTTGTCCAGCTAGGACCAATGTACCCGTTAGAGCTTTGGGTTGTAAGGTTGAGTAGGAAGGGAGTTGAGTAGGAAGGGTCCTCCCCCCAGTCACTAGACTACCCAACAAAATCTTACAAAGAGCTAGGCTGGCCCAAAGAATTCCATTTTACATAGATGGTGGCTCTTTTTTAACTGAGTCACCTACTAGTAGTTTTAAAATCAGCTTATTTGGAAATGGTGTTGGGGGTGGGGGGGGAAATCAAACACAGAGTTTACGCACAGAGTTGATGCAGATTGGGAAGAAAAGTTGCTCCACAATTTGTTAAATGATTGCCTTTGATACAAGACATTATATCATACACCTAGTCACTGTAACTAATGTTTGAGTTTTACTTCACAGTATAATTAGTACTTCAATTCATCACTCTATTATGTTCAGGATGCTTCAGTTTGATGGTCAAAAGATGAAATGTTACCGTTCAATAATAATACCTTTCATTAAGGGTAATTTTAGTCCTCAAACTCACCTGCGAACCAGAGTAGTCAAACTCCCCTGCTTGGCCAATGGACAGCCCGCCTGATCCCAGAATTAGCACCTTATGTGGGCGAATTCTTTGAGATGGTATTTGAGAATCTTCTGTCCCGTTTTTGTAGGAAAGCTGTGAAACAAGTCTTTCCCTGACTAAATAAGACAAGAATTTAATTCTGTTGAGTCACTGCACTAAATATTATTTCTTCACACTATATTTTCATTAGTTACGAGTGGAAATAATTCAAATCTTAAAAAAAACTTTCAAAATGTTACTATTTTAAATCAAAAGTTTTGCAAAAACAGGCACTTTGATTTATAACATACCTTTCACTTNAAAAAAAGCATCTCCAAACGCTTTTGAGAATGAGATTAATTAGAAATGAAATGTTATTACAGCAGCTAAAGCAGCAGTAACCAAATTCTTCTGCTTGCAAATTGTTTGCCCCATTAAACAGCACACAGATGATTGGACAATACATCACATTTCTCTCTGAGCTTTGGAACCCTCGTAAAACCCCAACTCATGGGATAAAAATCTCTACTCACTGGTGATATGAACCTTACATGAAATGAGTTTGAGTAGTTGTAACTCAGTTTCTAATGGACGCGCATATATATTGTTTAATCAGGTCTATACTAGCTGTTGCACATCACGTATATCCACATGGAATTTATTCTATTCAGACCATTCTTGTAATTTATACAACCAACAAGCTCAAAAGATTTGTCCTTTAAGCACCAAAGACACAAGGTACATTGATGCGATAGATCATGTCCAAAAGTGAGCTTTATTCCCTTCTCTTATGAACTCTTCAATACAAAACAGTCGACATCTAAGGAATCCTGTACCTATTCAATATGTTTACTAACTTTTTTTACATTTTTTTTCATAAAGCAGAAATGTACACACTTTTCTAACTGTTTACCCACATGCCGAAGGCTGATTTTCCCCAGCTAACTGGCAGCTAGATCATTGACATCTAACCCAGTCGCACCATGAATAACCAGACCATATTTCTGCCAGCTCTTCAGGTTGATAAAGAGAAGCACCAAAAGAGATGACATGTAAGTAGCTCAGCAAAGCAGCCACAATATTGATGACTTGAGAATTAACACCTTTAAGCCTTGTGTAAGGCAGTTTCTGTTCAGCCAACACAATGTCTGCGAACAAATTATGATTTTCAGAGTTTATACTGGAAGTCAGTTTATTTTTACTTTTGAATTTCAATTCAACAATAGCTCCTTCTCATTGTGTTACAAAGTGCTACAAAACTCAAGCATACTGTCCAGCTCAATCTGAAGCTCTTACCAGTTTTGGCTGTATCACCACCCAGCTTTGCCTCACGCACACACTCTAAAAAGACGTCAAAAAGGTCGACCAGGTCTGTTGGTCCTGCCATATGTTCAGGGTGAAACTGGGCACTGAATGGAATGAAAAAACATTAAGTGACCATATTAAGCGCATAAATAACTTTGACTCATGTGAAATAGAAACACCTGCACAGAATGGTTGGGTCAAATGGCCTGCTTCCATGCTACACGTTTAAATATTTGTAAATACAATGTAAACTGTTTTCCTAGGATTTCTAGTTAATCTTCGTGCAAGACTATAATGCACCATCCTGATTGTTTGTTATACAATTTCGCCCCTCCACCGGATCCTGAGGCAATTATTTTTTGTTAAAAATGGGCTTTTTGTCCAACTTCTAAATCAAAAATATTTTGCAAAATGGAAAAGGTGTCTGCAAGTCTCATGACTGAAGAGTAAAGGGAGTTTCAAATTCCAGAGTTGGCTGGAACTACATTTGATGACCTCAAAGACAAATTATTGTACACAATTGGCTTTAGTAACACTTTTTGGTTCACTATTCCCAACAGACACCACCGCTGGTGTGTACCCAAACAGGTAGAAAAAAAATACTGTGTTAAATGAAACCAAAGTCTCAAAGCTAGCAATCCAGATCTTTTATTAGATCTTATAGCTTTAAACAATACTTTCATGGTCTTGATCAATAATAGGTGTGATGTTTCAACAATGTTAAGGACTAACAGATCAGTCCAGTGTTCCATGAAGCAAGCTGCTGTAGTTGTTGCTGTCTATTGAGTCAGTTATTCTCCATCACTGAAGCTATCAGTTTTTGGTGCGTTTGAATAGGTTTCTGCATATCTGCGCTCCCCCAACCCTCATAGACAATTCCATGGCCGTGTGAGCAGAAAGTATAACCGGTAGAAAATACAGCCACCGCATTCACATCAATGCTGAAATGCTTTCCATGCTGCACCTGTTGTCAGTGAAACTATAGCAACAGAACTTCATAACTGGAAACACTTTCCAATAATGAAGTATTGATTTTTTTTTAAAAGAAATATTCTCACCCCATCTGCAGTGAGCTTCCCATTATGTACTGGCAGTCACAGTGACCATGAAAGTCTGCGGACGAAGTGTGACATTAGATAGTCATGGGTGTTGAAGTGTGAGAATAAAGTCTGGAATTCACACGAGTGAACCAGTTAAAACTTCACTCCTCAAAAAGATTTTTGTTTTCAATAAAGGAGAAAAGTGCAAATATTAAACAATGCCTTTTGCACATTTGCTAAACAAAGATAATGCAGGATAGGGACATCATAAAGGCATTGATGTCATCAAACTTTAAGCCATTTATTCTGGTCCACATCTGAGAACGGGTTTGAGGTTAAATACACTGAACAGCCTGGAACGTTTTTGTTAAGTCTAACTTTATGCTATCTATTTACACTGAAACAGAAAATGTTTCACAAGTAATTACTTGTGATTAAAGTGCAGTGAGTGGTTTGGTAGGCAAGTGCAGCAGCACGATTCCCTAAACATCCATAATTATTCCAGATGATTTTTCTTTAAGATCCTGAAAGTCCATTGAAAGAACAGGTAGAAAAGAGCTCAATTTAAAGCCTCATCCTGAAGATCATACCTCCAACAATTCAGCACTGATCCTCAAAACTGCAAATCTAGATAAACAAGCCCCACATCACCCTCAGTCCTCAAGTGGGGCTTGAAACCACAACTTTTGACTCCCAAGCCAAGCTGATGCATTATCACACACGAAAGTCAACAGATTATCAAAGTATAATCATGCTGAATTAATGCAAGTCTGTGCACTAAAATGTAGACAACAGCTGCACTCCAACCAGATTGTCCAAAGACATGGAGATAATTGTTTCTTCTTCAAGCCCTACACTCTTTGTGACCAAACAAAACTTCTCACCTGAAGAATGGTTTTGTGTTGTGAACTATTCCCTCATTGGACTGGTCATTAGCATTGGTGAAGAGAACCGACCAGTCGTGTGGTAGAGTATTTGGATCAACAGCAAATCCGTGGTTCTGAGAGGTGATGTAGCATCGCTGTGTATCTTCATGGATACAAGGCTGGTTGTGTCCACGATTCCCATACCTGAAACAGAAATCAAAACAATGCAATTTCTTACTGGTACATTGTCCAGGTCAATCAATGATCATCAAGTGATCAAGCAATACTGCACCAATATACAATGGACAGAGGTTTTGGAACCTACCACTTTACTGCACTTGACATTTTAAAATAGGCGTCCAAAATACCTGGCTGGACTGAAATATTTTCTGTCCTAGATTTTGGAGAAACAACTCCTGCCCTAATCCTCCCATCTCTCATCCCCTCCACGCGGAAAACACTTCCAGTCAGTAAAGTTCCCAACAAGCTACCTCAATGTGATAAACGAATAATTAGAATAAATCTATCATAAAAAATAGTTTAGAAATAAACAGGCGGTCAACTGGTAACTAACCAAAAAAAAATCAGAAATTAAACACTGCCGTAGGAGTGACTGGAAGCAGCATTTGTATATTTTTGACTCGTCAAAGACACTGTTTTAACATTACAACGGCCCGTAAAACATATTGAAACAAACACTGCCAGGGCACAAGTTAAAATAAAAGTACAATATCCACACATTCCCCAATGACTACAAGAGCCATGTAATAGAGAAACAGATTAAAAAATGATTTTAAAAAACTAGATTATTTTTGTATAATAGTCTCAACGTACCTGGAGAAAATATCAAGAGGAGACGTCAAGAAGCCCAGGAGCAGTGATAGCCACTGTGCTGAACAGCTGAAAGACTTTTAGAGCTCACTCACCCAAGATTCAAATTCAACCATGAGAAACTAATGGCTTTGAGTGTAAGATATCAAACCATCCCACTTCACCTATGAATGAGTGTATCCAAATTGGTAACACAATAAAGGCAGTGAAGTCTGCGCCCTCTAAAGAAACAGATGGGGATTGTAAAACCTTGTTTCACATGAACACCAACAGTCAACAGCGGAGGTTTTATACATTCGAGCTGAATTTAAACCGGCGTCTTGGAAGTAAAAGGTCAGTGTGCGAACCCACTGCACAACTGACCATGGGAACGAATCACTGTTTTAGTAACTAACATTTATTTACACAGCGTCCATCCCATTACAAAAAACACTCAAACCAGTTTACAGAATGAAACAAATTAGAATGTCACGTAGCCACAATGATGTACCAGCCACATTTTAGCAGCTATTCAGCAATGACAACCTGGAACTACCTAATCAAATTCTGCTAAGAGGCAAAATACCAAATACCCTTGTTGTCATAAACAATATGTTCCCAGAACTCCTTCTTGGTAAAACAAAAGGAAAGTAAACACTGATACAATGAGTGTTACAATAAATTATTATTATCTTCTCAATGACATAGATGAATAACTCTGATACTATTGAAATGAAGTGCTCATTTACGTTTTGCTTTTCATATATGAAAAATGAAAAAGACTGGATGATGAAAAAAAATCAAAGCCGGGCAGCTGAATATTGTAGTTATAAATCGTAGTACTGTATTTCAGAAAAATATTGATTTTGCTGGTTTGAAAACCTTGAGAGAGTATGCAAGGCAAACAGCTGTTCAGGCAGTATTCTGCAAACTTCCTATCAGTACAAATTCAAGTCACAACACAATCGACACAATTAAAGACACAATAAACCCTATTAAAATCATAATATTGTTCCTCTTGAAATATTTTTAACAATCTGCAAATTGGTATTATTGCACCCAAACCAGGGTGGGGGGGAAAAGATGGCTGAAAGCGTGGTCAAAGAAGGTCTTGAGAAGGAGGAGAGGGAAGGGGTGAGTCAAAGTGATTCCGGGATGGAGTTCCAGAGAATGGATGCAGCTATGCAGAAAGCCCGACACCTGATGGTGGGATAGGGGACATATAGCAGTCCAGTGCCCACTGTGTTGGTGACTCACTTATCAATCTTTATCAAACTAATCCAGCACTTCTGCCAGCCTATTATTGATTTTCAGTCATGAATCACCACTCACTCAGGATGCTCTGGACTTTAATTGTCACAATAACCAACATTTGTTTTCATCTTTATTGAGTGGTTTACTTACTTCATTTTGTATGTTTTGGCTCCAATCACTATGGAAAGGATCTGATGACCCAAACAAATTCCAAATAACGGTTTTGGATTTTCTTCAGAAACAATCTTTTTGATATTGTCAACAGTTTGCTGACAATACATAGGATCTCCAGGCCCATTACTGAGAAACAGCCCATCAAATTCTGTCAAAAAAAATCAATTACGATTAGTGAGAAGTTTACAGTAATATTAACAGTACTTGCCTCAAAGTAGAAATTCTATGGTGTTCATTAATTAACTCTGAATTTCAATCCAATAGATCAACTCATATCTGAACACTACATAACTACAGTAAATCTCACACAAGCTGAATCAGTTGGGACCTTGCATTTAGTATGAATTATGTCAAACTTGCATAGACTATGACCTCTTTAATGAGACTTGGACAGATATCTTTCAAATTAAATAGTTTTCTTTTAGTAAATAACGTTATGGGATATAGTACATAGGCAGTTTGGGACATATGTGCATGCGACTGCCAGGAAGGTGGAAGGCGAACTAGATGGGCCTTGGTCTTTTTTCGTCTAGCATTTCTTATATTCTTATGCTATGTTCTTATGTACAACTTAAGCGATTATACCATTTATACAGATCAGACTAATATGAGTTTTACTGTACATGCCTGCATCTTGACTGAACTTACGCGGATAGAATCAGCGAAATTTCAGAGATAATATTGAATTGAATGTAATGTAACCAGTAACCCGACTTTACCAGCAAACATACGTGTAACTAGTGATGTGATTACATTTGTGTTCATTCAGATACGGATGTAGTCAGAGCACAAGGGGAAGAACCCTCAAAGTGATGATCATCTCATTGCACGTCTCCCAGCAAGCTGGTGTCTCCTAGGAAGTAAGAGGCAAATGATAGCCCTCCATGCTACTTATGGAATTATAGCTCTTCAGTGATCCATAAGAATGCCTTTCCTCCTTCATTTGAAAATATAAATCTTGTTGGTTGTCTATCCTGACATTCATACCATGTGTTTTCTCTGTTATGTTCAAGATGAAATGGAAAGTGTGAGTGGAACTTTGCAAGATCTTTCACTTGACAACGATGCCCCCATAGGATTTCTATATACGTGCAAGTGTTAACTATTGCTTTGTAAACATTCAGCCGTGTTTAGTCTTCAGTCACTTTTTCCCAGGCAAATTGTCACAATTATCCAAGGCATAACTTACTATTTCTATTTGATAATCCCAGCTGAACTATAGCTACTTTACATTTATTTAATTTCCCAACTGCGTCAGTTTTCTCTCCCCTACATGCCCACACCACACACAAAAATCCAGAGAATGAATTTCTCATTATTTCACTTCAAAATAACATTTGCCTGAGCTCTCAATGACATTTTCATGACTGAGTACTTACTTGGCATATCTAGGTCCAGACTTTATTGAGGCAGTTTCCTTTACCAAGGAATTGCTCCAGTACCAAACAATCATATTACATTGCTCACAAAACCACAGGAAAGAACAGAGATAAGATTAAGAAGCCGAGCTCTACTCACAGCTTTCACCCCCTCCCTCTACCTCAGGCATTCACTGATGCTGACAACCCTCTTACGCTCTTATCTCTCACACAACTTATCATTCAATTGAGAGGCTGGACGATGATGGTCAGGAAGCTGTTCAACAGTGGTGCCAAACCCAATCCTACCCTTAACTAGTGTTCAGAAACTAGCAATCTTCAGTATGATCACTTGATTAGCAATCCCGAGTGGATGATAGCTACATGAGGACATTTTACAACATCCCCAGTGAAGCAATTGAACACTGGACCTTCCAGTTCTGTATGGCTCAAACCGTAAGACAGTACATATGCTCAATCCACTCCGCACACATTTAATGGAAAACTATTTTAGAAGGAATAATTTAAAATCTTTTACACAGCTCCAAAATGTACTACCCGAGATGACTGAATCATACAGAACTGGAAGGTCCAAAGTTCAATCTTTCCTACTGGAAATGTTGCAAATGATGAAGCTTTCAATGCTAACATGATCCACTTTGATGCCTACCTTCACTATGAAGAGGATAATCCCATGGTACCACAGTGACACTGGCTCCTCTCTTACACAGACATCTGATCTGGTTGTATTTCATCCCGCAGTCCACTGCCATGATTTTCACATCTCCAGAGGGATTGTACACTTTGGGCACCTATTAATAAAACAAAAATAGCTGATGCACATCATCCTTGCAATTCAAGGCACTCAGAAATATTTTGTTGTCACTGACACAAGGACAAGTAAATGCCTTTTCCTCTCTGCCCCTCACCTCCCACAGTATCACCCCATTTTGAGACAGTTGTACAAAACAGAACACAATAGATTCTGGTATTTTTCCCCTAAACTAATTTCTCAGTTATGAGCCTGGATACTAAACATTGGCACTCTATTTGACTTCTTCTGGGGGGGGCAGGAAGCAATTGGAGGTAACCATCTCGGCCTCGGGATCCGTTATTGTGAAGCGCTCTGAGATGCCAATGGTGTGGAGGGAGCTATATAAATCCAAGTTGCTGTTGTTGTAACCACAGGCACGGGATGCTGCGAGTATTTTGTAACAGGATTGAAATCAGTAGGAATGTTATCTTATTTTTTTCTTCTCAATCCAGTATAGGCTGGGGAGCCCAACCCTAGTAATCCAACAAAGGTCAGGACCAAACTTGAAACCTTCCTGCAGTCTGTATGTTCTGTGCCCTTACCCACTGGGCCAATGGGAACAACACCTTCCTTCTGTAAACTTATTTTCCCATTCATACTTTTCTTGTTGTTATGTCATATCGTTCAGTTTTTGCCTTTTTCCTAGTCCTTGCCCTCCATCAGGCTTTCTGATTCTCCTTATAATTTCTTTTAACAAATTTCAACTTTCCTCAGACCATTTTCACAATCAAAAAATATACTAATCTCCAGTTTGTCTCTTTCCGATGCCGAGTCCATTCTTTTCTACATCATAAAAATGTCTGAGCTCACCAACAATGCTAATCCACATTTACAATATTAATCTAACAAGCATTGTATTTTCATGATGCACTCACTGCATGCCAGAAATTAGGTTTCAGTCAGAAAGTGATCAGACAGTATTTGTGTCCTTTTTGATTTACAAAGGCAAGGCAAGCAGTTGCAGTTATTGATTCATAAAAAGACAAAAAGTGACAAAAATAAAAACACCAATCAACCTTTCGATGCATGGCAAGAGAGCTATTCATAGCCTGCTCTGCAATGCGGCAGTCTCTTGTCAGTTTTTAGTGACAGTGCTGCAACTAGACAAAGGTGACTTAAAAAATGTAACCTTATATATACACAACTACAAAGCTGTGTCAATAAAAGAGTTCTAACGATTACGGTAAAATTCATAGATCTGACTCTTTAGCAATTGGGCAGTGGTTATGTGACCTTCAGGATCAAACAATCAGAACTCATTTGATGGACAGTCACTTTGCTGATAAGATGGTACTTCAGAAAGGTCAAAGATTGACCTAGTTACTTCTGATCAATCTTTAACATACTGAGTGAGACTCAATTGGCTGAAAACAAAAACCCTATGGAGCAGAGCTTCAGCCAGAGACCACATTTTAATTGTTGTGGCGTTACAAGATTTGGGTACAAAACGATAGATATAAAAAGATTAGATTTTACAACAACAACTTGCATTTATATAGTGCCCTTCACATAGGGTAGTGTCTCACAGTGCTTAACTGTGGTGGAGCCTGACATTGAGCCAGGGGGAGTTGACAGCTGGCATAGTCGAAGAGGAAGGACTTAAGGCATGATCTGAAAATGGGAAATGAGGAAGCAATATTGACTCCTGAGCCTGTCGCAATATACAAAAGACTGTGAATTGCTCTCTTGCCATATATAGCCAACATTAAATGTTAGAATACAGTAAAATGTCAAAATAAATAACATTAAATAAACAAAAAAAACTTAAATGACAGAGAAATAGAAAAAAAAACACATCCACGTTAAATAGTAAGAAATAGGCACAAAATCTCTTTTTTTAAAAATTGCATAACAGAGGTTACAGTAATAATTCTAGTTACCCCTATCTGAACATCTTAGTACATGACGACTATAATATCATGGAGTTTGAGTAATAATAATCCTTGCATGTGATATAGCACTTTTTACATCTTCATAAGTCTCAAAGTGCTTCACAGAATAGACTGTAAAGTGAATTGAATGTATATTTGTGGGTAAAATGCGGCAGCCAATTGAGCACAGCAGTGTCCCACAAACAGTCGTGGATTGAAATGACCAATTTGTTATTTTTTTCTTTAAGGATTATTGTCAGGCGTGTGGAGTAAGGAAACTTGTCCAAGGTTTCACCCTGCCGGGAATCAAACCCAGGTCTCTCGCTCGCAAAGTGAGTGCTCTAACCGCTGAGCTACAGAACTCCACATTATTGATAGAATTTAAATACAGATTTTATATACATGATTGTGCTCTACATTTTTAAGCTAATTATACATTAATTACAATTATACATCAGCTAAAATCTTCAAAAAACTGATCCTATTTCTTCGACTTCATCATTTACAGATGAAAGATTACAAAATAATGCACTGTCTACAAAGTGAATTAGGAACAAGGCTGGATGTGATTATGTACAAAACATTGAAACAGCTGAGAACATATGCAAAACAAAAAGTTCATTGTTGGGAGTTGTTAATATGTAATGCTAACCCAGTTTAAAGCAATCCAAATGAAATTGAATGAATTGCTGATTCAACAGAGGGAAAAAGAATAAGTCTTCAGCAGAATCTGTACCTTTACGGAGACCTCTTTGACCAGATGTCTTTTGTTTGGATCATCATACGCAAGTTTCTTCTCATCCGTGCCATCCATCACAAGCTTTCCAAGCAACACTCCCTCCTCCCGGATCTTCTTAGTCAAACTTCTCGTATCGATTCCTAATAAAGTCAAGACCCACATTGGTATACTCCATCAAATCTTAGGACTGAGATTTATTACTGTCCTACCTAGAGAACATTAATATTAACTCAACCAAATATTTTGATACTATTTTTTCGGTCCCACTAATAATATTCTGAATGCATTTTTTAAAAATGCTTCCTATACAATGATTAATAATGATCTTTCATAAGGCCTTTCTACCCAAATCTATGACCTTGCATCAGCTCATCAACAACAACAAAATTATATTTGTATAGTGCCTTTCACGTCGGGAGGCCGTCCCAAGGTGCTGGACAGACAGAGCTGAGGGTTGGGGTGGGGGAGGATGGAGGGCAGTGGGGGGGGGGGGGGGGAAGCAGGGAGATCGAAAGCACGGTCAAAGTGGAGGGTCTTGAGGTAGGTCATTCACAAAGTACATTTTCTTCCAAGTGAAACCCTGCCTTTTTAAATCTCAGAAATAAAAACAGCTTGTGAAACATATTGGTGAAGCAGCATAAAATTTTAGCATCTTCTTCTTGGACTCAGATTTTAATTATTGTCTTCTCATTAACATACAACTTAAACATAGATATAATGCAAAATGTTACATTATACATTGAAGCCAGACTACAATCTTAGATAAATAAGTCTTCATGGATTTTATCTGTTCATTACCAAATTGGTAACTCATTAACAGCCACCCAAAGAAATGTCTGGTCTGAATTTGGACATGTCTGGGGTAACTCAATAACAACCACAGTGTTGAAACAGAAATCGTGCCGGTCAAGGCTTCAGTTAAATTATCAACGTAATTGCGCATGCAGTACTTCATTACTGCAGTTGGTAAGTGCGCATGCGGTGACAGGTCAAGACTTTGTTTCTCACACGTGTTTCAAACGGATTACTGAACATGCATACTTCAGTGCAGTCGAGAAGCGTGCATGTGGTGACAGGTCAGGGCTTGGTTTCCTGTGGAACACTGCACCTGCATATTTCAATATAGCCAGTAATTGTGGTATTGTAATGGCATTAGGAGTTAGGAGAGAAGTTGCCTAGGATGTACGATTATTCGGGACAAGAAAGCGTCATGATTTAGCTGTTCATCCAATTTATAAAACACGACTAGTGCAAAGAAATCTAAGTGTTTTCTGGTGGGAAACTGAATAGGAATCAGATGCAGGTACATCTTAGGCAATTATATGATCTATAAATAAACTCATGCGAGCTTAACTGTATGTTTGAATTGTCAAGTCTGATTCTTAGTTCCCAAGCAGTAATCAGTTATAGATTTTATGATCTAATCTGTGAGAATCAATTTCGGTCACTCAACCAACTTAAAAAACGGTAAAACAATAAATTAAGTTGAACGCAAAACAATTTTAATAAATTAAGCTGGTTAGTTACTGTAGAAACAGAAACCCTTTGATCCAATTTCCTCCATGAAGATCACTTTCTGGCCTTAAGTAAATCTAGCTCCACATTTACTTCCATTATCTGAAATATGATCAAAAAAGTAAAAAGGAACAAAAATGACAAAAAGCAAACAATATCCTTACCTTCTAGTGCTGGAATTCCGTGCTCTTTCAGCCACTGATCCAATGAACGAACTGAACTCCAGTGACTGGGATCTTGGGAATTTTCACCCACAATCAGTGCTGCAACATGAATTTTGGTAGATTCGAACCACTGAAAAAATAATTGAAAAGAAAAATAAATCTACACAGCTGGTTCTTTAAAAAAAGCATCTTTGCTGCTAACTCAATAAAACCTTCCCACGTGCAGGAATCCTAACTTTTCCTTTACTGAATGGAAAAGTTCTAATGCATAGAAATAGCAGTAACATAATGAAAAGTAAGCCTTAAACAAAATAAATTCTCCTTCTCTCCGCAAGTGAATACATACTTAAAATGGGACAAGTGCAACAAAGTACCGATCTATCTCACTGGTGAAACGATTGAGCACAATTAAAACAAATGAATTTACGTATAAACCTATCAGATGCTGCCCATACACATCTCTGAGCAAGTCAATTTAGATCTCAAACATTTAAAAATTCCAATTGGTCAAAGAAACAGATGGAATACAAGTTCTCCAAGATACTAACTTGTGTGAAGGGCGCTATATAAATGCAAATTGCATTTGTTTTACACTACAATACAAATTTAAATTTATATAGGGCCTATCATGTTGGCGCTGACGATCCTGATACAACTAACTCCCTAAACAAGAGAGGGCTGATCCTCTCCCACTATCAGATTGTGAAGTGCCACATCGGAAACATTAACCTGTTTTTCTCTTTTAGATGCCGGTCAACCAACTGTACATCCTCCGGTTTCAAATTTCAACAATAACTTTATTTATATACCGCCCTTCACACAGGGTAGCATTTTCAGAGCGCTGAACAATGGCAGTTTGTCACCGAGCTGGGGAGGAAGGGGAGGTGACCGTAGGTACAGTCGAAGCGGGAAATTCCAACTCTCCAACGTGCAATTTGAAGATGGGCAAAGAGGGAGCAAGGCAGAACAACAACAACAAGATTCCATTTATAGATCGCCTTTCACGTTGGGAAGACATCCCAAGGCGCTGTACAGGTGGGTCAGGACCCGAGCAAGGGGGGAAATGGTCAGGGTGAGGGGAGGGAAGGGAGGGAGCGAGGAGGGGGTAGAGAGTCGAGAGGGAAGCTGAAGGCTCGGTCAAAGAGAAAGGTTTTGAGACCGGCCTTGAAGGAGGAAAGGGAGGAGGCGGCGAAGGCACTGGGGGATAGAGTTCCAGAGCCTAAGGGCTGAGACTGAAGGCCCGGCCACGGATGGTAGGGTGGTTGGGGCGGGGGATGTGGAGCAGACCGGAGCCAGAGGAACGGAGGGTACGGGCAGGTAGGTAGGGGGATAGTAGGTCGGAGAGGTAGGACGGAGCGAGGCCGTGAATGGCCTTGTAGGTGAGGATGAGGATCTTGAAAGAAGGATTGAGGCAGGGAGTTCTAGAGATTCGGAGAGTAGTGACTGAAGACACAGTTCGAAAGGTAGGTGCTAGGGCACAAAAGGATTTGTAGGCGAGTGTGAGGATCTTATAAATGATCCATTCTTTGACAGTAAAGCCTGGCAAGGACTGTTATGATGGAGGTGCAGAGTTTGGTACTGGTGAAGATAGAGACAGAGTTTTGAATCAGTATGAACTTTGTGAATGGTGGAGCTCAGGAGATCGTCGAGGAGTACAATGGAGGAAACAAGACAAGAGGTGACAAAACATGGACGAGGGATTCAGCAGCATTGGCTGTGAGATAAGATTGGAGACAGGCAATGTGCCAGAGGTCCACTGATTCTTCCTTTCCAATCCCTCACCAACAAATCTTTGAAAGAGAAAGTTGTGGAGCACTATCTTCAGTCCTCTGCTTTTCACTGTCTGTGGGTCGAAGAGTCCATCTCTATATGTTCACAGGTAACACCCAACTCTACATTTCTGCCCCTGCCATCAACTACAGGATTACTGCTATGCTGAGAGATTACCCATCACAGACCCGACTTACTCCAAGCCAACATCTGCAAAGCTGAGGCTCTCCTGCTCAGATCTCATCAGTAGTCTCCTCACCTCAGAAGTATTAAACTCCTCAGTTACTCACTCCAACTATTAGAGTTAATGCAATATGTTCAATCCTCACTCTTATTCAACCCTTTCATCCAGGTTCTGACCAAATCTGCTTTCTTTGATCACCACAACATTGCCCGCCTCTAGCACTACCTCACCCTCAATGCAGCAGAAACCCTCATTCTTGCTTTTATCACACCCAAACTCGAATTTTCCAAGCAGCTGCTCACTGGTTTTCTGAGGTCCAATCTCGACAAACTTCAGACTATCCAGAAACCCTATGTCTGAATCCTCTCCTAAACAAGGCTCTGCCAGTCAATCACTGTCATCCTCGTACAACTCCATTGGCTCTGTATCCCCCAGAGGATCCATTTTAAAATCCTTGTTTAATAACCTTCAAATGCCTCCAATGCACCAACCTTACTCTGTGATCTCCTGGCAACCCTACTCCACTGCCCACTCTCTTCACTAACTCTGACCTACTTAACCCCCCTCCACAAATGGTAAGTGAACTGTCAGCCACTTTGCCCCTTCCCTTTGAAACGCTTGCCCAAAATCCTTCCACTTTGCTCCCTCCCTCTCTGCGTTCAAATCCCGCCTGAAGACCTACTTTAGGAATTGAGTTCCCTGGGTCAATGAGAATTCTAACAAAAATTCCCGTTAGCCACATCCCACACCCCTGTCCCAGCTTGGGGTCCTGCTCACGCTTTATAAAGCTCTTTGAGATGTTCACCCACTGTGAAAGGGGAGAAGTGAAGAAAAATAGCGTCACAGTAAACTTTCTGTTGATTCCATCTAAATATAAGAGAATAACATTTGACATTTAATCAACAACAAACTACATTACATACAAACAAGAACAATGGTCTCCTTATAATCTACCATATGCAAATTTATTTGATCAATTATAGATTAAACTGATCCAAATCTAGTGTATATAGCAGTTAAAGTTTCCTCTGTACCTTGCTGAGCCCATATTCATCTTCTTCATCCTGTGGTATCCCGTAGTTCCCTATCAATGGATACGTGAGCACAAGTATTTGGGAATTATATGATGGATCTGTCAAGGCTTCTGGGTATCCTACCATACCAGTCTGAAAAACTAAGAAAAAACACTTATTTGTAGCTGTTCATTTTTAATCCATTTACATCAACTACCTTGTTTACATTAGCACTTTCGGTTGTCTTTCTCTCCTACTTCTGTATATTTTAAGCCATTATAGCCTACACTTGACTAACATCAAATGGCCACTTACACTTTAATTTTGTTATTTTTTTTGGTTTTCAAGCTATTTCCACTCTTTCTGGTGAGCATCACCATTAACAGCCTCTTCCTACACAATGACTAACAATGACTTGCATGAAAAGGTCTCCACAACATGTGAACTCTCCCTTTCTTGTCGAGATAACATCTCAACTCTCGCTCTGCATCACAAAACATAACCAAGAGAAATATGCCGGACGGAGAATCACTGGTAGAATATCCCACATCAAAACACCAAGTCTTACTGGCACAAGTAACTTCTAATTAATCTCTCAATCCTAGGAGCTGCCATTTTTAATGTAAAGGTCAAATTAACAATTTCAAGATGCATTTCATCCTACATTGTAATGGGCAATGCGTAATGATTGGTGCTCTGTTCTTCAATTAGTAAACTTAAGACCTCAAATGTCAGATGAATATTATCAGTTTCACAAATCACTCGTCAATCTTTGCTCTGCTGCAGATTCATGTAGAATCTCCTGCAATTGTGAGCAGGGCACTTTCATCTCATCAGTAGTGGGATACACAAATACGCATTCAGATAATTTTACAACTGAATAAGCTTCTTTTGGCTATTTAATCCTCTTTCATGCCATCTATATCTGTGACTCTAGCCACTTTGCATTCAAATCTGATATTTTATCCTGCACTTTAACTATCACATTTCCTACAAGATGCGTCTATCTTTTGTCAGCTCTTTATAAGCTCTTGAGTCAGCAGAATAGTTCACTGCCATCATTTATCATGGCATACCAGGTTGCAGCTTATTAATAAGTCTATGTGCTGCAACACCTATAAACTTAGAACAGATTCCTGGAGGTGTACAATTTTATCAGGATATGTGTATGGGCCAGTGATCAACTTGGGTTGTATCATCTGTTCAGTAAAAATCCCTATTATTGGGTTGCTACTCTTACTTCTCTCTGTTTTTTTTTGTTAGTGTCATATCACAAGCGCTCTGAGACACTACCCTCCATGGAGGGCACTATAAACGTGCAAGTTGTTGTTGTCTCTGAATTTGTAAGAGACAACAATATTAGTTTGTGCCATCACCCCAAATTCCTTCATGTGCTAAGATCTTTACTTACTGTATGTATCAACCTATTTGTAGTGCTAACAAGTACCAACTGCCAGTTTACATTACTGTGTCAATACACACAAGTCAAGGTTATCCTTCACATTTCAGTTGCCCTTGCCACCATCTGTAACAACAGCATCCGAGAAAACAGCTTGAAAACATAAGTAAAACAAACTGAATTCAAGCAGACACAGTTATCTTTGACAAGATAACTGTGGGAATCAATTACTAGGAATGGTGCACAAAACAAGACTGCAATGCAAAGGAGTATTGGGAACTGTCTTTACTCAATGTTTCCTCCTCCAAGCTACCAAGGTTTTGGATTTCAACTACCTTGCTAATATACCTTCTGGAAGTTGCCTCATAGTATCGATGGCTTTGGAATCGGTAGCTTTAAATACAAGCATTTATACTTCAGGATTTTTTTCAATAAAAATTGGAAAATAAATAAAAAATCTGCATTTTCTCTGGTTGTAATCACATCAATTAATACAAAAAAGGTCATTTTGACAAGAACAGTGGTTCTAGTTATAAAATGAAAAGATCAATCATCGATCGATTAATGCCAAACTACTACAACGAACATTGGTTACCATAAACATTAAAAAGAATTAACATTTTAGTTAAATTTGTCTGTATAGTACGAATGTCTTATTCGGTCTCTAGGTTTTAGTATAAATACCGTATCACAATAATTTGTGAGTTGAAACTGCAATGCCCCATTTTAGAATTGTTGTACTGTAGGTCAACTTGCCAAAGGTTTCATTGCTTGCATGATTTGGTTGGAGCTATTTTCAATTCAAGCTGTCATTGAATTTATTTTACTTCTACTTTATTTTACTAATAAAGACGAAATGCCTGCATGTGTGCGTATGTGTGTCTGTGTGTCAAGCCAATAACTTAATAATTGATTGACATAGAGACATGATTTATATCTCATCGGAAAGGCCTTGCAAGCAGGAATGTCATGGGCAGACTTTTTTTCCGGAGATCTCCTATCGTTGATGAGCTATATTTAAAAATGCTTTAATTAAGCCCCAAAATATGAGGTTTGCATGGTATTTGCAACAAAGTAGCGACAGAGAAAACCATGGGCATATTTTTGGGGATCTCCTATTGTTATATAAAGTGTTATTGCATTATTGACTTGACACACAGACATTTTGTCTTTATTATAGATAATATAAAGCAATATAATACAACATAAAGTATAATAATATAAAGTATAATATAAAATATAATAATCTATATTAATAAAACGACAATGTCTGTCTGCACTTCAAGAAGGATCTCAATAATCGATTGACGTAGAGACATGATTTATACCTCATCGGAAAGGTCTTACATCTGAGAGTGACATGGGCATATTTGTTTTCGGGTATCTCCTATCGTTCATGCGTTATTTTCAGTTTTGCATTTTTTTGCTGAGGTCACACCTGGTGGCTGCTGAGTCAAAGTGGCGCTGTGGGACCCTGTGTCACAGAGCACGTACGTATATACTCGCGCACTGCAGTTACACCTGATAGTCGCGCCAGCGGACCGTGGCGCTGTGGCATCCAGCATCACTGAGCATGCACATAGCCAAGCGGCGGGAACAGAATAAAGAACACAGACAAAGCTAAACCACAGCATTACATTTTTAAAGCGACGAGTCCTCGCAAAAGGAGTCCTCGCAAAAGGCGTCCTCGCATTTAATAAAACCATTCTGTTCACTACTCTGCACTTAGCTCCCATCAGTCACACAGTCTTTTCCAACAATAACATCTTTAATTAATCTTTCCATTTTCAAACCAGATAGCGTACTGGTTTGTTGAGTCTGAGGGCGAGCCCAGGAAGGTTGAGGAGTTTAGATCGTAGGAGTGAAGACGTTGACAGGAGCCAAGGAGTATGGCTTCTGTCATGTCCATACTCAGCTGCAGGAAGTTTTTACTCATCCAGGCCCTGATGTCTGCCAGACAAACTTATAGAACATCGGTGGACCTGGAGTTGGTACTGAAGGAGGCAAAGTAGATTTGTGTATCATCCGCCTACATGTGAAAGTTTACCCCGTGTCTGTGGAAGACATCGCCCAGAGGGAACGTATAGATAAGGAAAAGTAGAGGGTCAACAATGGAGCCCTTGAATACTCCATAGATGACTGGGCGGGGGTGGGTGGAGAAACCATCTGCTGAGATGAAATGGAGGCGGTTGGTTAAATAGGACTCGAACCATGTGAGTTTCGGGTGGGGGGGGGGGGGGTGGAGTGGAACAGAGCCTAAGGAGAGAGACTGCTCGACCGTGCCGGCCAGCAGGGGGGAGAGAAGGAGAAGTTGAGTGACCAGCAGCTGGGTGGGGAGAGGGGTCGAGGCAACAAATGGTGAACTTCATCCGGGCGGGGGTAGTGGCAGGAGCCGTGGCGGAGGGAGAAGGCGGCGAGGATGGTCTGGGTGGGGTGGACGGGGACACGGGGAGAGGACGAGGCAGCCAAGCGGATGTTTTCAATTTTTGAGGCGAAAAAGTCTAGGACCTCTTCGCACTTGGTGTTTGATGTGAGTCATGGGTCAATGAAGCCAAAGAAACCAGATGCATTAATTTTGAAGCCATATTTGAAAACGCAAAGCTTGGCTATGATTCAAAAAATAGAATAATGCCTGAGGGAATGCCGAACTTTCCCTAAAATATCAACCCTACTGCAGCTGGTGCAATAACACATGGAACAACATGTTAAGCATTGTCTAGTTCACATTTCAAATCCCTTTGTGAAATTTAGGTTAGGCAATTTTGATCATTGTCCTCTTACTTTGCAAATCAAATGTTACAATTAAATTTACATCAAACATTGAACTTCATTTCTAACCTTGCTTGTTGGGTATATTGTCTACTTAAAAATATGGCTCCTTTTGAAGTCTAAGATTATTGGTAACTGACTCAAATCTAAGAGTTAGAAGAAAATGAACAGTTTCAACAAGAAATAGAATCACAATTTTAGTCCTCACCCAGGTAGAAGGGAGGATTAAAAACATTTTTTTTAAATCTACCCTTTCTTTGAATAAATCCACCCTTTTTTCCAGTTTATTCTAATATAATCAGTTGTAATGGCATGCTGTGGTTAAACAGTTTTCAACCATCCTTCATTTCCAAGTATTGTCTGCTGGTATCCTGGAGGTGTGGTGTTGACATATGCAAGTGGCACCAAACTCGGGGTAAGATAGCTATGCTGCAGCAAGCTAAAGTTTTATTGCAAGTAGCAAACCTTGGAGAGACTGGACAAAGTAATCAGCTCAACAGTTTCCTGATGAAGGACCTTATCTAAAACCCAAATCAATATCAGATCAAAGTGAAAAGTTTTGAACAGTATTAAGCCACTCCATAGGGTATACACATACATCAAAATGACATCCATAAAAATGGACACTGAATAAGCAGTCTGACTCAAGGCCCCATGGATGGCTGCAGTTCACTCAAACTGTTATGAGATTTGTATTAAACCACAATGTTGGAGCAGTACGCTTCACCTGGGAATATCCAATATTGACAGCAAGGGCTGGAACTACAAGAATTCAATTTCCTAACAAGAACACATTATTCAGCACAATCACCCCCCAAAATATCTAATTTAAACTCTCAAAAATGTAACACAGCACTTTCAAACTGACCTTCTGTATGACACAAACCAAGAAGTGTACTAACAATTTAATACACAGGTTATAATCACAAGATTATCTAACATATGTACGTTGCAATTTGGTTAATTGAATATCAGCTGAATAGTTTGGTTTATTGAAAAGAATTTAGAGCTCCGGAAACGAGTTTCCTCTTATGCTTAGTCCAGTTATATGAATAATTTGGTTTATTGAATAACTTCTGTCAAATTGAGTGTTCAATAAACGGAATTTCACTGTATAGTGCACGTTCCAGTTACCTCTGGCTTCTTATCATCCAAACAGCAGAATCATTACATTTATCAATAGGCAGTAATTCCAGACTGTCTTCCATTTATATGATCTATTTATTTGAACCTTTATCAACAAAGGTATATAAAAAAGAATTAAACACCAAATACAAAAGTTATACCGGTTGAGAGATATAAAGCTCTCTGGGACGCTACTCTGTGTGAGGCGCGCTATATTGTTGATCGACAAAGTCTATCATACATTCTTTCAGCAGGGTTATATAAACAAGCTCGAAATCAATACTCATCTTTAACAACAAGGTCACGTATTGTATTTAGCAACAGAACAGTAATGGAATAGTCCAACTAATCTGATGAATTTATTGTTTGGTTAACATTTGCTCTCTGTACAAAACATCTACATTGACACACAGGCAGTATTACAAATCCACACTTCTTAAATTCTTAGCTTTGCAGTCATCAATTCAAATTTTCCCTTATTTTATTATAAATACCATATTCAAATCGGAGAAACCTCAGAATTAAATGCACTGGCAGATTTTAGAGGGTTGAGAGAAACAGAAAGAAGCTTACTGAAAATCCAAGGTACATCCTGGTTTTGGAAGTAGAATTAAGTAGAAAACATTCCTTAGATCCAAGTAAATTCTTAAAAAATGTTTTGATCATGTGCACAACCCTTTAAGACCAGGTCAGGTTTACAAATCAATTTGCTTGAACTGAAAGGCTTCTTGAAATCTATACCAAAAATTGAGTCACCTAACAGCAAATTCATCTGGACTTTATCTAAACTTTTCACAAGGGAGTGAAACCTAGGTCATCAGTGCAGAAGATATGAACAACAACACAAATTACATTTGTATAGTGCTTTTGATCTCGGAAAGACATCCCAGGGCACTGGACAGTCAAATAAATCAGCACCCAAGAAGGGAATGTTTATGAATGAAACACTGAAGTAATCGACATGATGTACAGTACGAACTGTGCACATTGAGTCTCGATCACTGTAGTTTGTGATCAGTTTCAATTTACCACCGTTTTTATTTAGTAACATTTGGAAAATTTGCAGAATAAACAATTTCAAGGGTTTGCTTTGAAGTTTCCTTATTTAGTTTAATTTGACAGCCTGAACTAAGTATGCCTACAGCGTCCGGGTGGGTTGGTTGACAGACACAACAGTGTAAGCTTTGGGAGGGGGGGGGGGGGCTTATTAACTGTCTCAAATCCTGTAGCTCAGTGGTTAGAGCACTCGCTTTGCAAGTGAGAGACCTGAGTTCAATCCCAGGCAGAGGGCGAAACCTTGGGCAAGTTTCCTTACTCCACACAGAGCCTAATAATAATGCCTCCAAAACCAAAAACAATAATAAATTGGTCATTTTCAATCTACGACTGTTTGTGGGACATTGCTGTGCGCAATTGGCTGCCGCGTTCGCCCACAAACGTACAGTCAATTCACTTTACAGTGTGTTCTGTGAAGCGCTTTGGGACGTCCTCCTGACATGAAAAGCGCTATATCAAATGCAAGGATTATTATTATTATTATTATTATTATTATTATTATCATCCATTAGTTACAACACAGCAGGTTGGTAACCACAGTGACATCCTCTTTCAACCTCTCCCGCACCAACTCCGCTGACTGGAAGAGCTTTTAAACCCACGTTAAAAAAACAACCACCCCCTCTGGTGTATGTTTCCTGTCCGGGTCTCCTCCTGAAGCATTACTCGTCGACCCTTTGCCCCGAGCAAAGGAAAACACACCACGTGGATGACTTCCCTTTCTGTACCTCCAGTCTCTGCTCTGCGGTGGACAAAGCGATGCTTTCATTCAGAAGTCAAGAGGATTACCTGCACCTCCGTTGCCTCCTCTCCCCCCACCCACACCCACCCCCCCACACACCCCCCCCGCCGCCGGCCACCCCCCACACCCCCCCCCGGCCACCACCCTCACAAACTTACCCACTTCGCCTGACACGGAGGCTCTGGCCCCGAAGAACGTGCCTTTGAAAGAAGAGCCGTCCTGTAAGAAGAGGGTACCGGTCAGGTGAGCGGCGAGTTTGCCCGGCATGGCTGGGCTGGGGCTGGGCTGGTGCTGGAGCTGGGCTGCTGGGCTGGTGCTGGTGCCGGGCTGGAGCTCAGCTGGGCTGGTGCTGTCCTGGTGTTGGGCTGAGCTGTGCTGTGCTGGTGTTGGGCTGTGCTGTCCTGGTCCTGGGGCCTAACACGTGAGCTCCACGCCGCGGATGGAACGCCGCGGATGGAACGCCGCGGATGGAACGCCGCCTGGGAGCAAAGCAGCAGCGCGTTCTGCCCCGAACAATGGGGAGGACGGACCCGCAGCTCAGAGCTCAGAGCCGCAGCGGCTCTCTCAGGGCACCACTGAACCCTCCCGCGCGCAGAGCCCAGAGCCCGCACCGCACTGAGCCTCTCCTCCTCCTCCTCCACACACACCAGACAGACAGACAGACACAGACTTTCCGTCGTGTGAGGAAGTGACGTGCTTGAAGATTAATATTACCTGGCTGTGCAAATGCGTGGCTCTTTCTGGGACGCTTGCTGCGCCACTTGAATCACGGCACAGTCACTACACTTGCAAATCCCGCGAAGGAGCGCTTTGCAGGCGGGATGTGCCGCTTTATCAAATGCAAGGATCGCTATCATCAAATGCAAGGATTGTTATTGCTCACCCAACAATTAGCAGAAACAAGCACATGTGAAACAGTGGTTCCTGAATGGGTTAAAATGTGGTCACGATAAGGTATCGTTTCTGGTGTGAAAGGGTCTGAAACTGACTCAGTTATTTGGGACAAACTGACCCTGAGTGCAAGACTCCACACACTGCATGCAAGCAGACTTGTTTGAAAAGTCTGCTGTCAACTCCAAAGGTGTAAGGGTCACCCGATCAGATCAACAAATCCTAAATTCAGTTTAAAAAGATGGGAGAGTTTGCCCCTTTTGCAGAGAATACAGATTATTTTAAATTTAAAGATCCTTTAAATGTCAGGCGGGCAATTTGAGTTTTGACAGTCTTAGTGTTGAATAAACTTAATTTTTTTAATAATAAATGGGGATTGAAACCTTATTCTTCATAAGACTCCAGTACATATTTTCTAATAAGGGATTTTTTTTCAAATAAAAGATTTATAAAAGCAATGCAAGAATTGTGTTTTTTTAATATTGTTACCTAATTAGAGTATTTCCCCTGTATTTATCTTCAGGACTTCATCGGTGTACTTTTTAATAACTTTCAAATCCCCCACTTTGAAAAAATCCTGATGTGGTTGTTAATTGAACTTCTATCTGCCATACCAGGCACCACACATTCAGTAGCCCCAGTGTCTGCCTACAAAATATACAGTCACTATGCATTACAGTAATTCCTGGGAAATGCTTTGAGATGCCCTCCCAATGTAAAACAACAATAAGATTATGTTTGTATAGCGCCTTTCACGTCAGGAGGACGTCCCAAGGTGCTGGACAGTGTACAGCGTTTCAGACCCAGCTGGGGTCAGGGGGGAGAAGAGAGGGGAGGGGAAAGGGGGGTGACCGGTGGCATGGTTGAAGAGCAGGGTCTTGAGGCGGGACTTGAAGGAGGCTAAGGAGGGGACGAGGCGGAGTGATTGGGGGATGGAATTCCAGAGGTTGGTGGCAGAGTGGCTGAAGGCTCTCCCACCAGTGGTGGGGCGGGTGGGTTGGCGGATGTGGAGCAGACCAGAGCCGACTGAGCGGAGGGAGCGGGTGGGTTGGTAGGGGGTTAGGAGGTCACAGAGAGAGGGTGGGGCGAGGCCATGGAGGGCTTTGTAGGTGAGGACCAGGATTTTGAACTGGATCCTCTGAAGGATAGGGAGCCGATGGAGTCGGGTGAGAGTGGGGGAGATGGGGTCACGGAGTTTGGTGCGGGAGAGGACACGGGCTGCAGCGTTCTGGATTACCTGCAGCCTGTGGAGGGAGGAGTTGGGAAGGCTGACAAGCAGGGCGTTTGCATAGTCGAGCCTGGAGATGATGAAGGCATGATCAAGAGCTTCAGCAGCCTGAGGGGTGAGGTAGTAGCGGTGTCAGGCGATGTTACGGAGGTGAGGGAAGGCAGAGCAGGTCATGGCTTGAATGTGGGGGAGAAAAGACAGTTGAAGGTCGAACAAGACACCGAGGTTCCTGACTGGTTTGGTGAGTTGTAGTGTGCAACCATGGAGGTTGATGTTGCCAGAGCCTGAGGTGCTGAGGCGCTGGCGCGACCCAATCAGGAGGAACTCAGTTTTATTCACATTCAACTGTAGGAAATTTGCCCTCATCCAGGACTTGATGTCCGACAGACAGTCAGTGCTACATCAAATACAAGGATTATTTATTGGCTCCAGTGTCTCATTTTGACATTCAAATTCCTTTGCTATTTTACCCACTCTACCTTTTCAATCTGCTTCCCCCTACCCTCCACTCCTTTTAATTTAGACTGCTATTCATTACTCACTACCTCTGTTTGAGCATCAGTGGCTGACTCTTCAGCTTCTATGGCTTCGCTCTCTTCCAAAATCCCATTGGTTTGCGCTTTCTCTCCATAATAATAATAATAATAATCCTTGCATTTGATATAACGCTTTTTACGTCGGGAGGACGTCCCAAAGCGCTTCACAGAACACACTGTAAAGTGAATTGACTGTACATTTGTGGGCGAACGTGGCAGCCAATTGCGCACAGCAATGTCCCAAAAACAGTCGTAGATTGAAAATGACCAATTTATTATTGTTTTTGGTTTTGGAGGGATTATTATTAGGCTCTGTGTGGAGTAGGAAACTTGCCCAAGGTTTCGCTCTGCCTGGAATTGAACTCAGGTCTCTCCCTTGCAAAGCGAGTGCTCTAACCACTGAGCTACAGGACTCCATGTCTTCGAACCCCAGATAAAATCTAATTTTTGATCATGGCTTTAGTCATCACCCTCAAATTTTCATCCCTGCTTAGTGATTTCCATTACTCAACAGCAACTTGCATTTATTTAGCATCCTTCGCACTGGGTAGTATCCCAGAGTGCTTAAGCACTTATTCATTTCATTCCTGTACAGTATATCCTGCGAAGTGCTTTGGGATGTCTTCCTGAGGTGAAAAGCACGATTCCAACTGTAAGGATTATTATTTATTATTATCGTTGTGAAGTCCTTTGAGACGCTCATCCTTCATAAAAGGCACAATATAAGTGCAAGTTCTTGTTATAAGGCAATTTCCATCCAAAGCTATGAAAATAAGTGTTTATTTAATAAATACATTTATTTACTCAAACAAATATGTTCATTTCTAAACCCTCTCCTAAGTTTTTTGTTTGTAGAATTCTGACTGCTTCCTAATCTGATAATTCCTATCAACATGTTGGAACCCCAACCCACGTCTGGATTTATCAATAGGGGTGGGAGGGAGGAACAAAACAAACAATTGTTTGTAAAAAAAAGCTAAATAAAAAAAATTCTGGACAGAAAGCTCATAGGTCAAGCAGAGAGCGAGAGGGTCAAGCATAAAATTAGGCAAGAGTGAAGCTAAAAATTGTGAGGTTTTAGATTTATATTTTTTATCATACATAAAACTAAAACAGACCAAAAATCATAAGCAAATCCAGTCACACAGGTTCAAGCAGGTGGTATTAGAGTTTCATGCTGATGATTTCAACCAGATATTACTGGTATCACTAATTGTTATTAGTGAAGACTGAACCATGTAATACAATATGTTACAATTTATTGGAAGATGCTTTTGTAACCTTATTTAGTTGCACAAATCTTCTTGGCTATTATTATTTTAAGCCTTGATGCAACATTAGAATGGTGCTCTGACATTCTGTGGTAAGATGTATTTTCAACTCTGGTATTATAATAATCCTTGCACTTGATATAACACATTATACCTTTGGCAAAACATCTCAAAATGCTTAACAGGATTTATTGTAAAGTATTATGACTGAATTTGGAGGTAAATGCAGCAGCCACTTTGAAACCAGCAACGTCCCACAAACAGGCACATTCAATTTTACATGGGTGATTGGCCAGCAGACTAGGATAAATTCTCTTCAGTTTTTAATGGGAACCTTTAACATCTATTCGAAAAGACAGGACTCAGGTTCAACATCTCAGCCCAGAATAGAATAACAGCTCTGACAATGCAATGCTCCCCAACATTGTACTCAAATATCAGTCAGTGGTGGCCAATCTGGGGCCCAAGGGCTGGAAGTGGCCCGCACTGCCGTCATGAAACCGCCCCCAAACATTTACACAAGTCTAAGCAAGTCTATGTTCAATCTGAAGTTTTTTCTAGCATAAATATTTTCTGATTTGTGGCATAAATCAAGAAAAAATTATTTTGTTAGCTGACTGCATAGTTTCACCACTACAATGAGCTCAAAGTCTCAATGTGGGTCTTGAGCCCCCAACCCTCTGACTCAGAAGCATGTGTGCTACCAAATCAGCCGCACTGACACCTATATAGTCCATAAAGATTTTTAAAATTTTAAAAGAAAAAAAAGTAGGAAAGGTAAGATATGCTAGAGAAAAGTATGGCAAAGAAAGAAAAACTATCACATGGATTTCTGCCTTGGACCAGAAATCTGTTTTAGTAGAAACATGGAATTTACTGCTCTCGTTATGACAATAAATGAAATCTTAAGGTAAAATCATGTAAACGTGTCAGTTTAATAACTAGAAGAGACAACTTATCTAAACAAACCTTATCATTTTTGGTTGTGATAAGGGCTAGAATATTGGACACGGACAGGGTATAATAAACACCCTTTGGACAGAATTGAAGTAGTTCTATTGATAAAAAATCTCAAACAGGATGAAGCAATATTTGAGTGTAAACATGTTGGTAAATAGGATAGTGGAGCCTATGTAGAAATGGGATTCAAATTCAATGCAGCATCTGAAGGAAAGTCAACGGAAAGACTGCAGAAAATGTTTTGACAACATTGCTAATTAAATTAAATTGGCTACAAATGAAATGATATTTGTTTTTTGGGGGATATCCAATATAATCATAACAAATGTACCAAAAAGTCTTGATACCATTTATTTTAATAATAATTACTACTAAAAAACCCAAAATATTTATTTAAGACTTATTAGACATTG